CACACGACAATGGTCAGTGTGCAGAGGGTTGCTTTCCCCAGATGCGAAGCCGTACCGTCAGCTGGGCCAATCAATGCGTGTTTTTCTTTTCAATGTATTTTTCCAGTCGGCGGACTCAGTTTCTAATAAACCTTACTCATGCAAAGCTAGTTTTTTGTGTTTCAGTCACGGCCGCCCAATTCAGTTGCGGCATGGCAACGCTATTCTTACTGAGCGCATTATTACCCGGGACACGGCGGTTGACCAGTTCGGATACGCTAGGCGCGACAAGACGGCTCGCGTCCAGGACTCAGACAGCAACCTAGTCCGTTTTGGGCGTAGCGGATACGACTCAAGCGTCACGTCGAGGTTGCGAGGTAATACAATGGGTCAGGCAAATGTTAGTGCAAAATGAAGACTCGAAAAATGACGCCAAACTCGCGCAGGGGGGCGTGGGATTGCCCCGGCTGGATGCCGTGTACCGGTACCCGCCAGGAGCCTCTGCTCTCCCTTCGTCCAAACACCATCGGGCCGGTGCTCAGCGGAACAACAATCGCAGCCTTGCCATGTGCATCCTGAGCTCGGCTTGCAGACACAACAGTCGGTCTTGCATGTCGAGCGAGGGGTTCTGGCGCGGATCCAGGCGCGCGCACGCCAAGTCAGTAAATCGGCCGGCCGTCGCTAAGCAACGGTTTGGGCCAAACGCCCAAATTAAGGTCTGGCGGACTAAGGGACGATCCCTTTAGCCGCAACGAGGCATTTCCAATCGGAAGGATCGGGGCGCTAAAGTTATGCTGCCTGGCTCTGCGCTGGATCGACTGCTGTTGGGAAAATCCTCGTGGGGGAGAGGGGCGCGGAGGAGCTCGACGATGCGGAGCAAACCTCCGTCGACTCGTGTGCGAACGAGCGTTTGGACTGATGCGCCATGCGAGATGGATATCGCGATGCACTTTGCCATGTCAATACATTGTGCATCGTGCCCATGCCGTTGTGGGCACATGCAACGACTCCTTTGACCAACGTCCCGTTCCGCGGTCCTTTGTAGCGGGACGGGACACGAATCCAGCGAACCATGTTGTTCAAGATGCTCATGTTGAATCCCACGCCTACCGATATGCCACTTGGTCGCATCATCGATATTCGCCGTTGTGCTCGGCCCGCGCGTGTCATTTTGGACGGCCCGTTGACGAGATCGACTTGACATGTATCAGGATAATGTGTGTGTGTGTGTGTGTGTGTGTGTGTGTGTGTGAGTGTGTATGTTGAGAAATTGCCGAGTGACCAAAGCACGCTGTGATGCTCCGTGCCTATACGGTGTAGTCCAAAGCAAGCATGCAGCCTCGTGTCGCGGTCCCATAGACTGTACGGGCCAGCTGTGGACATGTCGTGTGGAGATATCCTGCGGCTTGCAGTGTCCAGGCGAATGAATCCAAGTACGTCGCCGAGGTTGCTTCGGACATCCGAACCAAGAAGACCCTGACAACTATCAAAGCCATTGTGCCATTCGTCCGTCCGCACGACCCACGATCAGGTCGATTTGCAGCATCTATCTGTGCCACACCTTGCGATTGTCGGGTACGACCATGCGTTCGGGTTAACCGTGATGGGACCTCGAGCGCCACATGCTCAGCACCTTGGCTGTGACTCTGACTCTTCTCACATTGCTCCGTCTCAGCAGCTTGGCAGATCAAACTCAAGACGTTGTCGTATAGTATGCTGCCACGCGAGTACCATGCCTTGACCATTCCAACAGACAGAGCTTCACTGATCCGAGTGGCCATGGACGTCGGCTAGAGATGAGGCGTTTGCATGATGTCAACGAGGCTTGCAAAAGATACACTGCTTCGGCAACGGGCCCGTTCCCAGTGGTTGACGCTCGCATTCTGCATCCGTGGCTACCGAGGACAGTAGGTGTATTCCGCAAGCCATTTGTGCTATCTGGCAGCTTGCAGACAGAAGCAACGACGGGACTAGAAGCTGAATACCGTCACTGACGACATGCATATACATGCCTTACCGTGCACGTTCGCCACGCTGTACTGCAGCTGCTGTACGCCCCATGCACGTGCAAAAGACCTGGAACACTGGCCGTGACAATGATAGAGGGGTAGGCTGTGGAGAAGAAAAAGTCACTTGCGCTGGCGGCAGTGTCTTGGGCGCCGTTTGCAGCACGCAGCTAAACGAGAGAGACTGGACGGGCACGCGGGACCCATGTCGTAGTGGCAGCCAGCACTCTCATGCCGATTGGACTGACTCATCTCGACAGCATCATGGCGACCTGTAGGCCAGTTGGACTGGTTCGCTTTGTTGGACGTCAGATTTGCCATCATCACATGCTCCGTACTTCCAAAGTGTTGGGAAATCTTGGCTAAATGCATGTTGATAAGGTAGCGACACGGCTACTAAATGCCCAAGGCCTGACCCTGACGCCAGAGGATGCGTTGGTGGAAAAAGAATATCATGACTTCAAGAGCCGTGGAGCAGTATCACTGACATCTTATTCCAGAAAGAGCAAGACTTCAGGGGACAAGCCGCTTGGACGCAACAAGCTAGGTCCTCGGGGAAGGGTGGCACACGCAGGTGCATCCCAATTTGGGGGCATACAGGAATGCGGAGACTAAAGAGAGTGGCGGCCAAAAACGAAAAACTGGGAAGAAGAAGCAGAAGCAGAAGAAAAAAACAAAGGCGAATGCAGAAAGGGGGCAGGGGCCGTGGCCATGGCGATGCATGTATGCAGACATGGGCAAATGCAGATGCGAGTTTGAGCAAATGGCAGTGCCCCAGCACATGCAGGCGGCGACGAGGTATTAAACGTACCCAGTTATTTTTCTGGAGGGACGAGGGGACGAGGTAAGGATCGAATGAAACATGTATCGGGACGAACCATTTCAGGGTTCTCGTGATCGTACACTGGCACTGGGCCTAACAAAGTTTGATGTCTGGCGCTTGGCGGCAAGGCAGACTGTGGCGCGCCCCTCGGCCTGGTCGCCGTCTTGGATGCCTGTGTTTCGAGCACGCCGACGGTAAAACACTGCCTGTATGCTGGTCTGCTATTCTGGGCCTGGCGTGTGAGGTTTCCCCAGCATGGCGTACTGTCGGGAGCTGTCAGTCACAGGCGAGGCGAGGCGAGGCGAGGCGGTGCTCTGTTGGCAACGAGCACGAGTGTGGCTGGGCGCTGGCACGTGAGGAGTTTGTAGTGCCAGTGGCAATGATAGTAGCCGTGATAGTAGTAGTCGTAGTAGTGGTGGTAGTAGTAATGGCGGTGGTGGTGGGGGTCAGATGTGATCATGGCGGGCGGCGGGGCGGTGGCTCGTGGCAGAAAGCGCGCCGATCATAGTCCAATATGCTTATTCGGTTCTCCGCTCTCCGTAATTGAACGTCACCTCGTAATCACAAACACGCCCTTTTACCAGCACCGTCGACGGCACCGTGCCAGCCTGCCCAGCTCTACGGCGCTCGGTTTCTGACGTCCCCATCTGTTGGGATGTGTGACAATAAACGCTCCACCAGCACGCGCTGCCTTGTACGCTGCTGCCTCTCGTCCCTACACCAGCCGTCCAAGCTCGCGACCATGTACGGCCTGGTTTCGCCAAAAGGCCCCATGGTAACAAGCGAGCCAACGCCCGGATCTTCCGTGAGGCGTCCCTGGAGATAGCGTAGGCATTCTGGACAGCACCACTGCTGCCCCCTCGTCCCCACCCCCTTGTAAGCTCCGATTGCCGCTTGTGGCGCCGGTAATGGGGAGGCCGTAAACTGGGCGTGGGCTGACTGCGATAACCACAGGAACAAGAAGCCAGGGCCGTCTCCCCAGCCGCCAAGGGTAAATTGGGGTAAACCTTCTCGAGGCCGTATATACGAGCATTGTAACGGCGTGCTTGCCGTGGCTGTTGGCGTCGACGCATGGGCGCCACAGATGGCCTCACATCAACCATGCGCCCAAGCAATGTTTGCTTTGCTTGTGCTTGTTTCCAGCCCAGCCCAATGCGGGCGTCCCGGTGAGCTGGCGCTTTGATGATCACTAGGAGACGCCGAGCATCAGGCCTTCCGAGACGTAGGCTATGCCTCATGCTTGCCCTCGCTAGCCACTGCCACCATGCTCACCCACCCCAGGAGCCCGAGCGGGGGCTCCAGAAGCTTGGTCAACGCCAACAACGCTGTGGCATCATACTACTCGATACGTGGCAAAGGGAACGCTGACTGAGACCCGGCCGCGGTGGCCATAGTTGACCGGATGGGCTGGTAGGCCTGGCCGTGACTCGCCAACCTGATGTTTTGCCTCACAGTACAGGCTGGAACACTTCGGGTCAACAGCTTGTCGTACCAAAGGACGCAGCACCCACGGGCTTCTGTTACCGAACTGCCACGAGGGTCTTGGTTTGCACAGAGGTCCTGCACCGCATGCCTGTACATGCTGCCAGTCTTCCCCATGCGGACAGGGTTCACGCCAAACAGCTCCAGCGTGCAGACTCGACCGCAATCAATTCTTCCTGACTGCATAGATCTAAGCCCAAACGCGCTTGGAAGATGCTGTAATTGATAGCAAAACACACGGACGCGACGTCTATCCACCCCGGCTTATGGGAGGGGATCCGAGCCACTAGGCCCGAAGTTGAGACAGCGCCTTCGCTTTCCAGGTCCCCACGTCTCATGTTTCCTATCACCCGCAACGCATTGGCTGCATTTCTCAGCCGCTGGGCTCCACGTCTAGCGCGCCATCTATCAATAGGCATAGGAGCTTACTCGGACACACAGCCGGCATCTGCACGCCATCAACCCTCGCAATCATGGCTGGACTATCCAGGAAGGGAAGTGGTCCGCGGTCCACACTTGAGCTCACGTCAATATGCCTCTGCAGTACACTCGCTCCGCAATACATGGATTGTAACAGATCCGGCACGCACTGTGCTTGTCATCGCGCGATCCACGCCCTGACCACCTTCTTGACATCTCACGCCTATCATTGCCGCCTGGACGCATACATATACCAGCACCTCCAAGCCCTAAACTTTTCATTATCCCATCATTCCCACTCCAGTCCCTTGGGCCATTACCCTTGCATTCAAGTGCCTAAGTAATACGACTTTGGAGTCCCATCTTTCCATTCTCCTTTGACGACCCTTGCTCCAAGCTTTCGGAAGCCTAACCCTCCTCCTCTAAATCACACCCTTCCCTGAGGTCGCCCTACCTCAGTTGGCATTGACTTCTTGCATACTTTCACCTTTTTTCTTCTTCTAATCTTTCCAATATACCCTTGCCAAAATGAACACCCTCATTTTCGGAGACCAAACCGCCGACCAGTACCCGCTCCTGCGGAAGGCTTGCACCTGGAAGAACAATGCTACCCTTACCACCTTCCTCGACAGGGTCAGCGTTGTGATTCGCGAAGAGGTGCAGAAGCTGCCACGAACACAGCGAGACCAAATCCCCAACTTCCTGACAACATGGGACCTTGTGGAAGCATACTACGCTAAGGGACTGAAGATCCCTGAGATTGAGAGTTGTGTGGTTACCATTGCGCAATTGGCGCACTACATTGGGTACGTCCCCTTTTTCACGTGCTTCGCCCTCCGTCCTGCTAACGGTTCAGGTACTTTTCCGAGAACCCCACAGAGCTGCCAAACCCGTCAAACACACGGGTTGTCGGTCTTTGCACCGGTCTTCTTGCTGGCTCTGTTGTTGCATCTGCGCGATCCATCAGCGAGCTCCTGCCACTAGCGACAGAAGCTGTCCGCGTCGCTTTCCGCGCAGGCACCTGCGTCGGCGCAGCCAAGGAGGCACTTGAGCAGGCTTCTGCCTCCAAGGAGACATGGTCTACCATCGTCACCAGCATCTCTGAGAGTGCCGCTCGGGATGCCATCACTGCCTTCCACGAGGAGCAGCAGATGCCTACCCTTGCTCATGCATACATCAGCGCTGTGAGCACCATGGCTCTCACCATCAGCGGACCCCCATCGACCACCAAGCGTCTGCTCCAGAGCGACGCTTTCAAGAACTGCGCTCGTGTCCCTATCCCCGTCTACGCCCCTTACCACGCCGCTCACCTGTACACCGACGCCGATATCGACCAGATTCTCGACAAGGATGCTATCAGGCACCTGCAGCAATTCCGCCCTCTTGCCCTCGTGCACTCCGCCTCTACCGGACAATGCCACACTGCTACCAACACTTTGGACTTGGTTCGAACGGCCCTAGCTGAGATGCTTGTTGAGCCCGTTCGATGGGACAACCTTCTTTCTGAGATTGTCTCCCAGGTCACTGCTGCATCCAGCGCCGAGTGCTCTGTGTCCGCATTCGGAGTCACCTCCATTACCAACAGCCTTGCTTCTGCTCTGAAGAACGGAGGCCAGGCTGCCATCACTGTTCGCGACCATTCTGCCTGGGTGCCCACCGATCATGGCAGCCGTGGCCGCACCCAGAACGACAAGATTGCCATTGTTGGTATGTCTGGTCGCTTCCCCGGTGCTGCCAGCCCTGAGGCTCTTTGGGACCTTCTCGAGCGAGGCTTGGACGTCCACCGTGAAGTCCCCGCAGACCGCTTCGATGCAAAGGCCCACTGCGACCCCTCTGGCAAGGGAAAGAACAAGTCCCACACTCCTTACGGTTGCTTCATCGACGAGCCTGGTCTATTCGATCCTCGCTTCTTCAACATGTCCCCACGTGAGGCTGCCCAGACCGATCCTATGGGTCGTCTGGCCCTCACCACTGCTTACGAGGCGCTGGAAATGTCTGGATACGTCCCTAACCGTACTCCCTCGACTAAGCTTGAGCGAATTGGAACCTTCTACGGCCAGACTTCGGACGATTGGCGTGAGATCAATGCTGCTGAGAACATCGACACCTACTTCATCACGGGTGGTGTGCGAGCCTTCGCACCAGGCCGCATTAACTACTACTTTAAGTTCTCTGGTCCATCGTACAGCGTGGACACTGCTTGCTCTTCTTCGCTTGCTGCCATTCAACTTGCCTGCACTTCGCTCTGGGCCGGTGACTGTGACACTGCCTGCGCCGGTGGCCTGAATGTCCTGACCAACCCGGATATTTTCTCTGGTCTCAGCAAGGGTCAGTTCTTGTCCAAGACGGGAAGCTGCAAGACGTACGACAACGATGCCGATGGTTATTGCCGTGGTGACGGTTGCGGTTCAGTCGTTCTGAAGCGCTACGAGGACGCCATTGCTGACAAGGACAACATCCTCGGCTGCATTCTCGGTGCTGCCACCAACCACAGTGCCGAGGCCGTGTCCATCACCCACCCGCACGCTGGTGCCCAAGAATACCTTTACAACAAGGTTCTGTCCAACGCCGGTATTGATGCCCACGAGATCAGCTACGTTGAGATGCACGGTACTGGTACTCAAGCCGGTGATGGTATCGAGATGACATCTGTCACCAATGCCTTTGCTCCTCGTCACCGCCAGCGTACTCCCGAGCAGACTCTCCACTTGGGAGCTATCAAGGCCAACATCGGCCACGGTGAAGCCGCTTCTGGTATCAACTCCCTCGTCAAGGTGTTGATGATGATGAAGAAGAACGCCATCCCTGCCAACGTTGGTATCAAGGGTGTGATGAACAAGACATTCCCCAAGGATCTTGCTCAGCGCAACGTTCACATCGAGACCACCCAGGTTCCTTGGCCCCGCAAAGGTGCAGAGAAGCGCAAGATCTTCCTGAACAACTTCTCTGCTGCTGGTGGTAACACTGCCATTGTCATGGAGGACGGTCCTCTCCGTGAGGCCCCCAAGGGCGTCGACCCTCGCACCATGCACATGGTCAGTGTCAGCGCCAGGTCTATTGCCTCTCTCAAGAAGAACATCAACAACTTGATGAAATTCATTGATGAGAACGCAGACGTCACCCTGCCCAGCTTCGCGTACACGACCACCGCTCGTCGCATCCAGCACAACTACCGTGTTGCCTTCTGTGTCTCCGAGATGTCCAAGGTCAAGGATGGTCTCCAGGCTCAGCTCAAGGACACCTACAGCCCGTTGCCCATGGTCCCGACCAACACTGCCTTCACCTTCACCGGCCAGGGCTCGCAGTACACCGGTCTCGGCCAGAAGCTGTACGAGGACCTTGCGACTTTCAAGGCTGATATTGATCAGCTCGACAAGCTCGCTCGTATGCACTCTCTGCCTTCCATTCTGCCCCTTCTGACTGGAACGGATGTCACAACTCTCTCGCCAGTTGTTGTTCAGCTCGGCATGGCGTGCATCCAAGTTGCGCTCGCTCGCATGTGGAGCTCTTGGGGTGTTCGCCCCATCGCTGTCATTGGCCACAGCCTTGGTGAGTACGCCGCTCTTCACGTCGCTGGCGTCATCTCCGCCAGCGACATGGTGCTCCTGGTCGGTCGCCGCGCTCAGCTTCTTGAGCAAGAATGCACTGCCAACACCCACGGCATGCTTGCTGTTAAGGGCAGCGTTGAGACTATCAAGGCAGCTCTGGGCAACAAGATGACCGAGATTGCATGCATCAACGGTCCTGAGGAAACTGTCCTCTGCGGTACTGTCGATGTTGTCAGCTCCACGAGCGAGGAACTTACTTCCAAGGGCTTCAAGTCTACCAAGCTCAATGTTCCCTTCGCCTTCCACTCTGCGCAGGTCGAGCCTATCCTGGAGAAGTTCAAGGCTGTCGCTTCCTCTGTCTCCTTCAACAAGCCTCTTGTGCCCATCATGTCGCCTCTGAACGGCGACATCATTGTCGAGGCTGGTATCATTGGCCCAGACTACCTTGCTCGCCACGCCCGCGACACTGTCAACTTCAACAGTGCCCTTGCCACTGGACAGGAGCAGAAGCTCTTCGATGCAAAGACCGCTTGGCTCGAGGTGGGCGCTCACCCCGTGTGCAGCGGAATGGTCAAGTCTACCCTTGGTGGATCGCCTGTCGCAGCTGGATCTCTCCGCCGCAACGAGGACCCCTGGAAGACTCTTTCCAACACCATCACCACCCTGTACCTCGCTGGTGTCTACATTGACTTTAACGAGTACCACAGGCTGTTCAACGATGCCCACGAGATGTATACTCTGCCAACCTACGCCTTCGACTCCAAGAAGTACTGGTTGGACTACCACAACAACTGGACTCTTACCAAGGGCGAAGTCCTTCAGGCTCCTGCTGTCAAGGCTATCGAGGCAGCACCTGTTGAAGAGGCTCCCTCCAAGTTGTCCACTACTTCTTGCCACAAGATTGTGCGCGAGGACCTCCATGCCAACTCCGGTACTGTTGTTGTCCAGTCTGATCTTTCCGACCCCAAGTTGAAGGCCACCATCACCGGTCACCAAGTCAACGGTACTCCTCTCACTCCCTCTTCGCTCTACGCCGACCAGGCCATGACTGTTGCGGACTACCTGTACCAGCAGCTTCGTCCAGGTACTGAGACACCTGGTCTTAACGTGTGCGCCATGGAGGTCACCAAGACTCTCATTCCCCAGTACCCACCTCCTGCTGGCGGCCAGCACCTGCAGATTGAGGGTAACGCCGACCTTGAGACCAACCAGGTTAAGATCACCTTCCGCACTGTCACGGCTGATGGCTCCAAGGTCCTTGCCGAGCACGCTGTTGGTCTCGTCAAGTATGAAGATGTCAACGCCTGGAAGGAGGAGTGGGGCCGCATCCAGTACATGGTTCAGTCTCAGGTTGACCTCCTGAAACAGAAGCTTGAGACTGGTGCCGCTCACAAGGTGCTTCGTGGCATGGCCTACAAGCTCTTCAAGGCTCTCGTTACCTACGCCGACAACTACCGCGGTATGGAGGAGGTCATCCTCGATGGCAAGCAGACTGAGGCTACTGCTCAAGTCCAGTTTCAGACCACTGCTGCCGACGGAGAGTTCCTTTGCTCGCCTTACTGGATCGACTCTCTTGCTCATCTTTCGGGCTTCATTGTCAACGCTTCCGACCACCTTGACTCTGAGAACTCGGTCTACATCTCTCACGGATGGGGATCAATCAAGATTGCCGGCAAGCTTTCGCCCGAGAAGAAGTACCGCTCGTATGTTCGCATGCAACCTGCTCCAGGTAACGTCTCCGTCGGTGATGTCTACATCATGGAGGGCACTGAGATCATTGGTATGGTCATGGGTCTCAAGTTCCAGAACATTCCTCGCCGTGCGCTCAACATCATGATGCCTCCCGCTGGCAAGGCTACTGCTGTCTCTGCTCCCAAGGCTACTGCTAAACCCGCTCCCAAGGCTCTCCCCGCTGTTGCTCCTATCAAGACTCAGGTGGTCCCTGTCAAGGCAGCCAAGCCCACCAAGGCTCCCAAGGCCGTCAAGGCTGCTAAGCCTGCTGCCCCTGCTGGTGTCACTTCCAAGGTCATGAACATCGTTGCCCAGGAGATTTACGTAGACATGTCCGAGCTCGTCGACGAGGCTGCTTTCGAGAACCTCGGGGTCGATTCGCTCTTGTCTCTTACAATTTCGGCGCGGTTTCGTGAAGAACTCGACATGGACATCCCCTCGACCCTATTCACCGACTGCTCTACTGTCGGCGAGCTCAAGAAGCACTTCTCTCAGTTCGATGGCGCTACCGTTATCGAGGACGATTCTTCCGTTGCGTCTGACGAGCCTTCCGACCCTTCCACTCCTTTTGAGGCACCTGCAGGAGAGAGTGACAGCACCCCTGCCAGCTCCACCGGTAGTGACGATGGTCACGATGACATCAAGCCCTCCGGTGTTTCCGAGGGCGGTGCCAGCCTCGCCCGTAAGCTTGTTGCTGAGGAAATGGGTGTAGATGTCTCTGAGATCACCGACGACCTTGACCTCACCGACATTGGCATGGACTCTTTGATGAGTCTTACCATTCTCGGTTCCATGCGTGAGGCTACTGGTCGCGATCTTCCTGCTGACTTCCTCACTGTCAACGTCACTATCAAGGACATCGAGACCGCCCTTGGCATGCGCCCACAGCCCAAGGCTGTGAAGCCAGCGTCCAAGGCTGCCGCCAAGTCCCCTCAGCTCTCTGAAGTCAACAAGAAGCTTGCTTCACTCCCGGATGTGTCTAACCTGCCACCCGCTTCCTCAGTCCTGCTCCAGGGTAACCCCAAGACTGCTACCAAGAAGTTCTTTCTCGTTCCCGACGGCTCTGGTAGCGCCACCAGCTACATCTCCATCCCCAACATCTCTCCTGACATGGCTGTCTATGGACTCAACTGTCCGTTTATGAAGTGCCCTGAGAAGTGGACTTGTGGTGTTGAGGGTGTCTCCCGTCTCTACCTGAACGAGATTAAGCGTCGTCAACCTCAAGGCCCGTACATCATTGGTGGATGGTCTGCCGGTGGTGTCATGGCCTACGAAGTCGCTCAGCAGTTCGTCAACGCCGGTGAAAAGGTCGAGTCTCTTGTTCTCATTGATGCTCCCTGCCCCGTCGCTCTTGATCCCCTGCCTGCTCGTCTCCACATCTTCTTCGATCAGATTGGCCTCCTCGGTACCGGTAAGCCCGGTGGTACTCCCTCCTGGCTCCTTCCTCACTTCGCCTCCGCAATCCAGAACCTTAAGGACTACGACCCAGCGCCTATGGACCCCAAGTCCGCCCCTCCTGTCCTTGCTATCTGGTGCACTGACGGCGTCTGCCCCAACCCTGAGGACCCCCGCCCCCCGCCAGGTGAGGGAGAGGACCCAGCTCCCATGAAGTGGCTGCTCAACAACCGTACCGACTTCTCAGACAACGGCTGGGCTCAGCTCCTCCCCAAGGAGAACTTTCAGTACGCTGTCATGGGCGGCAACCACTTCACCATGATGAAGGGAGATCACGTAAGTCATTGCTCCAGTCCCATCTATGATACAGAACGCTAACATAGCTCTTAGGGTGTTACTCTTGGAAAGCTCATCCAGCAAGGACTCAAGCTATAAACTTCTTGAACCTTTCACCTATAGATTGTAGCACTTAATATTGCATGCATCTCTCCACGTTCAAGTGTTGAATACTGAGATGTCGGCGTTGGAATCTTGTTCGCTTCTTTTTGTCTGTATGGCATTTGACATATATCTCCCGGCACCGGTGTCCGGGATACGACAACTTTTGGTAGGGATGGAAATGGATGGGCGGCGTTGGGGTTCGAAATTTTTCGCTTTTAGTTTCGACATTCGCACACGACTTTATCTGGCTTGTCTTTTGCTTCTGTTTACGTACCGTCACGATTATTCGTTATGTACTTAATGTTTTGGCTTCCGCAATGCAAGGGTAACTTCATAATTTCTGTTCTTCTGACGCTGTGACTTGTATCATTACTGTCTCCTTAACCTTTCAACCTCAATCTGCCATTGATTGTCCGGTCTACCATTACACGGCAAAATTTCCAGCTGCACGCTTCTTCGCCCTCCAATAGTTGGGACAACAACCTTGTACTGGCTCCGATATCTAGTCACTGTTACAACTTGACTATTTTACCTCCTGGTTCTTCAGGTGGGTTTCACTTATCATGGTATGTAGTACAGGACCCCCACGTCTTCATCTAGGATACTAATTGCAAAGAATCCAGAACACTTCCACACATGAACCGCACCACCCCATAGCTATCAAATCCCTGTACCTACATACATGATCGTGCTAATGCCAAGGCTATAACAACGACAATAACAACATCAATCCCAGTACAATATACGATGCTGCCGGCCGCCCAGAGAACCCATGTCCGCCAGGCTTTCTCGAAGAAATGCTCGTTTCTACAGCCAAAATAGCTATTTACCCACGCGCTCATCGCAAAGGCGGTACCCGCGCTGCAGGTACAGCGAGCCTGATAGCCCACGGATAAATACGCTGCATATTCGATCTTGCGCGTGCCGCCCGGGTAATTGTACAATTGTATACTGGTGGGGGGTCTTTTTTTTGCAAGTCTGCCCTGTTTTTGGTCTTGCTCATCACCACTACCGGCACGACGATACGGCTGATAGAGCAAGTCCAGTCGTACGGATATGCAAGATTAAATTAAAGAAGTCTGATCGGAGCATAGACATGGCCTTGCCTCCGTCCCGCGGACACATTTGTTCCACGCGATATGTACGGTATACATGCAGCGCCGGACCGGCGGGACTTCCGTTGTACGGGTTCATGGCGTCGTTGTCCGGGTTTTCGAGAGTACCGGTAGTAGTGTTGGATATGCAACTAAGCTCACCCATGTGCAATGCAAAGCGCGTTTTTTTTCTGGGGCCTGCTACTGTCTGGGATATTCATGTGTATGTATGGGACTGGGTGGTAGGGCTGGGCATGCGGTGGTGCGCCAAGTACAGCCATGTAGGGATGGGGTATGTGCGTATCAATCTAAATTCGCAGAAGATGCCAAAGTGGATCTTTGTGCTTTTTTTGCTATCTTTGCTGCTCGTGGGTTCGGCCCGGATCGACATGGTCTGTGTCAGTGAATTGCAGTTCTGCTGCTGCTGGTGCTGCTGCCCGGAAGATCGTGATCGGGTTCTTGGATCCGGGTGATTGGCACTGCAATGGAATGACTCTTGCAACATGGCATTCTGCATTGTTCCATGTTGGGTACTTCGGTTGGCTAATCATACGTCTATCATGGTGTGTATATAAGGTTTCACAGCGTGTCCTTCAGCGTCGCTTCGAAGCCAGCTGAGGTAGTCTTCAGCTGCCGAGACGAGCAATTTGTGCGGGTGTTTGTTGGCAATCTCAACAGCTCGCGTCTCTGGATGTGAGCGTACCGCAGTATCTACACGTAAGAGCAATCAGCCTTGCCGGGGCTCGTTCAGGCAAAACACCTTGCAATTGCCGTTAACATTCCATTGTGCGTTCGCCACCAACAGAAGACCCAGGAATGAAACGCAAAGTGCTTCTAGTCGGTCGTACATTGCAGAACAGAGCTGAAGCACGTGACTTTGTCACATCGTCACTGAGCGTCTGTCCATGCAGTCATATCCAAGATGACGAATGTCCCACAACGCCAATCGAGCACCCTCTTGGACCGCATTATCCGAAGCGAACTCAACAAGCGCATGTCAGCTCAACGAGCATCTCCCTTCACCAATTATACTTGCTATGTCGCGAAGTACTGAAGATCAGCCCTGCGAAGCAGTTTGTCACGGGGCGGAGTTGCTGGGCATTGTCTCAGCGGCGCCTTGAGAGGGTCAATACCTCAATCCGTAGGGTACAAGGATGATCCACAGGGTCCGTTTGTTATCAGACCGTCCTTCGTATTTTGTTTTCAGCTCGGAAGCGAGCGCCCGCCACGTCATGCAGGTGCCACGACAGGCGAGACGCCTTACAGTACGACCATGTACTCAGCCATCCCACTGCAGTTATGATGCCTACCAGGAGCAATGAATCGCGAGTCGTTGTGTTGGGACTTTGTGGGAGCTGAGGAGGCGACTGTGCCGATCCGCATCAAAATACGCTTCTAGACATTCCGGGAACCAGAACGACAGCTGTTCTGCTAGTCGCTCAAATGGGGCGATCATCGTGTCGATCAATATCGAATTTCCCCTTCGGATTCAGACCGGTCGTCCGAAAAGGGAAGAGGGAAATACCAAGGCTGCTCTGTAATCATTCGCGACATGTGAGCTTAATGCAGGACGCATAATGCGGAATCATTGATGATAATGGTACGAGAGAAAAGCCTATCCATGCTATAGCATGAGAATGGGCTATTTCTGTCTGGAACACGACCTACCGATGAGAGTGCGTCGGGTGCATCCGCATGTGCTGTTGTTTTATTCTTGTCATGACGAACACAAGCTGAGCTAAACAGGGCACACGGGAGCTCTGCTGGCTAGCCTATTGGGCGAGTCCGAAAAAAGGCCGCCATGACACTGTGATGGGATCCAATGCGATGGCGAAAGGCATGGTCGGCGAGGATGTCGCCAGATGATATGCTCGGAGAATAGTGAGGAGGCCCGAACGTGCGTCGGTTGGCTCGTATACGGCGTTTGCTGAGGCTTTGCAGCACAGGCGGATGCAGCCGCTGATCGCACCCACGAGCAGAGAGCACTACTGACTCGTTCTTTTCAGATGATTAAGTTTGTGGCGTGTATTGATACACAGAGCCTTACGGGGCGGCCTTGGGTTTAATAACTCGATTACGATTGGATCGGTTCTGGATGTGGCTGACAGCGGCATACAAGTGCTTACATCTGGCCTGAAATATGCTGGCCTTGCAGCAGAGTATCCGATAATGGTTGACGCGAAGATCGGGGGCGCGGCTACTCTCTCCATAGGGCAGACGGCATGGACCCCCTATTCTGCTGGTGTAGACTACCTGTAATTAGCACATGTAGTATAGGGCAGGGTTTTCTGCGTTATCACTGTGCTGGGCGAGTACAGCCACATACGTGAAGGTCACAGTGGCGTCGACGGGAGTTGAGAGGGCCCAGAAATGCCGTCTTTTCCAGCGATCTCATCATCCATGCCGCGACGCAACAAGAAGAAGCATGCGAGAAAACTCGGTCGAATCACCGGAGAAAAAAGTCGTCATGTAATACTGATGCTATTGGTTTGAGACACCCCACCAAAAAGGGGGTAGCGTACCAGGCGCACGGCAGCGGTGGACATGCCGGATATTGCGTGGTGAGATGATGTAAAATTAGCTCAGACTGACTAAACGCACAGCAGGTTATCCCGCCGAGACAAGTAAGATGGGCGAGTAGAGGGAGGCTAGGGCGGGGCGGAGAGAGTGAATTGCACGCGGGGGTGGAGGACGAGCCACATGGCATTGGTGCCAAGAGCGGAGATGGCGGGGCAGTTTTTCCGAGGCGCGCAACAACCAACGCGCACCGCTCCAGTCTACAAGTCCGAGTCGCAATGGCGAGCGTAGCTAAAGCCGGGAGGTCAGTACCTGCAAAGAGCATCTGTGTCACCAGTCCATTTGAGAGAAGCTAACATGTCGCCAGCGAACCCGCAAGTACGTATGCCAGTCCCTCGCGATACCGTCCTCATCCTCTGACATGCAGCGACTCTTTCAGCAAACCCGCGGGGCATCCCCGTAGCTCCGTTTATCGACAGGGTGGAAGACTATGTGACGGACCGCTCCGAGGTGGAAACCACCATAAACAACTTCAAGGAGATGATCTCGTGCGTCGACTCTCTCGGCCTACACTCGACGACCCTTCTAACGCCCGAATTCCCAGAAAGTACCAGTTCATGCAGCAAAACACACAAAGACGAGCGGCAGGCCTCAAGGACAAGATCCCCGATATCCAAAAGACGCTCGAAACCGTCCGCTTCCTCAAGTCCCGAAAAGATGACGCAGAGCCTCTGGAAACAACCTTTGAGCTGAACGATACCCTGTATGCCAAAGCAGAGGTCCCGCCCACGGATGAAGTGTACCTCTGGCTCGGTGCCAACGTCATGCTTGCGTACCCCTTGCCAGAGGCTGAGGAGCTGCTGCAGTCAAAGTTGTCCACGGCAAAGCACAGTTTAAGCACTTGTGAGGAGGATCTGGATTTCCTCAGAGAGCAAATTACGGTATGTGATTTATAAACCCTGGATCTAATGGGGATTGTACGTGTTAATGGTATATAGACACTTGAAGTCGCATTCGCAAGAGTCTACAACTGGGATGTTGCGCAGCGGCGGAAGGAGAGGGAAGGAGGCGACTCAATAGAGGACAAGAAGCGTGGATCGCCGAATGGATAAGGACTAGGCCGAGCTGGGCTCTGTTAGATTTATTCTTGAGCCTGCGTGGACAAAGACTCATGGGGTTCACTGGCTACAAGCCCTTGTACAAAAGGCTAGAAACAATCTGAGAACGACGAAAAGAAGATACCTCATCATGTTTCTTTCATTAACCACACAAGAACAAGGCAATTTATTCAGTCAAAGTCTGTACGTGTAATAATGGCAGAGAGAAGGAAACCCATGCACACAGTGCATGTCTCTCCTCTCCAAACTCTATATATATTGACTGGTATGTACTCTTCAAAGACTATAAGGCACCCGGCCACCGATAAATCCTATAAAAGAAAAAAACATATTATACACCCGCCCTTGTAGAGACGTAGTCCTGCAGAACGTCTAGGATATATCAACTCAAACACTACCTGGGCTTTCCTTCCAGAAAATTTGCCCTTACTTAAAGGACAAGCTTAGTGCTACCATCCTTAGGGGTCGAAGCAAAAGCCCCAGTCTGGACCTGGACGAAGTCGTTCATCATCTTGGTAATGGCAACTTGACCACCCCAGGTCATCATTTCGGCCATGGTATCAATTTCCTTCATGGTCATGATAACAGAGCCCAGAGGTGCCTTGGGGAGACCGTACTTGTCCTTCTCCGCGTCGGCACGGCGCTCAGGCTTAGCCGCCGCGGGCTTGGATGCCGCGGGCTTGGATGCCTCAGGCTTGGCTGGCTCAGGCTTGGCTGGCTCAGTGCTGTTGCCCATGGGCTTGCCTTCCATAGCGGGCTTCGCGGCTGGCTCAGAGGTCGCAGGTGCTGCGGCAGCAGGCTTCTCACCCTTGGTCGCTTCAGAGGATGCGGGAGAGGCGGCTGCTGGGGCAGCGGCGGCAGCCGGGGCAGGGCTGGCTGCTGCTGGAGCTGCTGGAGCTTCGGCGGCAGGGCTGGCAGCAGCAGCGGCAGGGCTGGCGACAGCGGCAGGGCTGGCGACAGCGGGAGCAGCGGCAGCAGGAGCAGCGGCAGCAGGGGCAGCGGCAGCAGGGGCAGCGGCAGCAGCAGCGGCAGGGCTGGCGACAGCTGGGGCGGCAGCGGCGGCAGCGGGAGAAGTAGCAGTCTCAGTGATAGAGCTGGCGGCTGCGGGGGCAGGGCTTGCTGGGGCAGGGCTGGCGGCAGCTGGGGCAGCAGCGGCGGCGGCAGCAGGACTGGCGGCAGCAGCTGGGGCAGGGCTTGCAGGTTGAGCGTTGGCTTGGGTACCAGTCATGAGCTTCATTGTGAGGATGTACTCTCCATCGATCTGGCGGACGGGAATGGCAATGCGCATATTGCTCTGGTCGAGAATAGCCTCAGCCTGGATGGGAGTGAAGGTAGGCGCAAGAAGGAGCTGAGTAGCAACAGGGTTGTTGGTGGTACCAGTGCCGCCCTGAACCTGGCGAGCAACATTCTTCCTGAACTCATCACGAGTGACACGGCGCGTGGTAGCGGCTCCACCGAGACTGCCCGTTGCGCCGCCAGGGTTCATCAGGACACTACGTTGAGCGACGCCGATGGCCACGGAACCGGTTGGTGGGACGCCCATAGCTTGCATCATCTTCTGGAGACGGACAGCGTTGACTGTGAATTCGTTAGCTTGATGCATGTATTAGGTTTCTACAAGACTTACCAGGCATCTGGATAACAGTGACCTGCTGGTTGAGGTTTGGGGTGACAGCGGCCAAGTTGGTAACGACAGAGTAACGGTAGTCGTTGACGGTGCTTTGTCCCTGAAGAGCAGACAGCATACCCTGGTCAACACCCTTCTTGACATCAACGTTCATCGTCATGGGTTGGGTAGCGCGGGTTGACATTCTGAAGCCATCCTGGAACTCGTTCTCCTGCAGACCAGTTCCCTGGATGCCGACAGATGTGGTGCCATCGCTGCCAAAGGGAACGACAAGAGTGTTGGTCTCAACGGTCTGGCGACCGACAACCATGTATTCACCGTCCATCTGGCTACGCTTGACCATGCGAACAGTCATGTCGGTAGTGTTGACAGTCCTCATGGTCTCTTGGATGATCCAAGTCTGGCGGTCAGGCGAAAGCATAGCGACATAGGCGTTGTCTGGCTGGACAGCCACGCCCTGCAGGTTCTGCATAGTCATAGCCATCTCGATCTGGCCACCGACCAGGTCCGTTGCACCATTGGTGCTGATGGTCATGGACTGTGGGGAGACGGCGACAAAGGGCTGACCAGATGATCCAGTGACCTGGTTGGCCGGAATGGAAGGGCTTTGTTGATTAACAATTATTTGTTGTTGTTTCTGAGAGAAAGTCTCGACTTTTGATCGATCGGGAAATACGAAGGAGTTGAGTTTCATCTAGGCGCGTTAGTTTGGAGGTGCTCGAATGATCAGACGAGGATGCTACTTACATCGCCATTGACATTAAGTACTTGGTTGTACTGCACACTTTGCGACTGAGCGAACACCTGTGCACAGCTCAGGACGATAAGGAGAAGCGAAGAGATCGTGCCGGACGTCATTTTTGCAAGTTGTAGAAGCCACCTGGGCCTTTGAAGAAATTATTAGGTAAAAAGGAAGAAAGGGAAAACGAAAGAGATAGTGAACGAAAAACAGAGAAGACTTGCTGTGGCTGAGATGGATGCCAACTCTGGGCGGCGGCAGACGTCTAATATGAAGGCTCTCGGTTTCGTACTAGGACACGAGAACTCGGACCGGCGAGTCTTCTTTCCGTGCGTAGAGTTTCGAGTCGTGCCACAGGTCGAGATGTCGAGATGCCCTGGGGCACGGAGTTGTATGCCATTAGGCATACTGAGCTCCTCTGTACTCAAATGCCCCACTTTGAGCTTGCCGATCGTTGTCTCATTTGATTATGCTGTCCAGGTCAGCCGTAGTCCTTCCAAATCTGGTATCGGCCAAGAGGTACTACACGGTGACAATGATGCGCCTCTGCAATCATTGTTTCAAACGTCAGGCAGAACGGCTCTGGCGTACGTATGGAACATAGCTGCCGGAAACCTCAGTGCGATTCGGCCGTCATATCCTTCAACGCATGACGAGACAGTTCTGATGGATGTCGGATAATCCGACTCTGCTGGAACTCTGTCTCATGCCACGAGACTGGAAGCGCTCCTGGTCTCACCAAAGAGAGGACGACTCTAATGTGTGCCAATGAGCACACTCTCATAGAGGCCCGTATGCATTGCATACTTGCCAAAGGGAATCGCAGAGCTGACTATTCAATTGCGGCAGAAGACGAGCCTACCCACTGAGAAACTTGGCGTGTCATTTACGTGAAGATGTGATTGGCAGAAAGGCGTTTCAGCATATCGGATTTGGATTTGTGAAATCATCAAACAATGATGTTTGGAGTGGTGTTTCGTGATACGTTGTGTTGCACGAACACGATCGCCTTCGGTTGCGTTAGTTTCCGGCTAGTCTCGCCCGGAAAACCCCATGATTATCGGCCCGACCAGAAGAGTCTTGGCAACATGCTGCTGTGGCTGCACTATCTTGCTGTCAATCACCACTTGTTCGAACGCCACGAAATTTCCTAGGAGCCAATTACGAGGCTCATCTAAGCTACGGTACATTCAATCGCCACCAACAAGCATCATTGGTATCCTCGTCCACTCGGTGCCTTCACACTTCCACTGGAGAATGTCGCCTTGTACTTGCTATCCATGGCCTTTGTTCTCTGTTTGCTCACAATACCCGTGCGGTCGGTCGTGGGTTGTGCGGCCATGAAGCTATCAAATTCGTCGTCTTCTGCATTATCCTCTCCTGGCTCACTATCATCCTCTTCTGCAGAGTTTGCCTTCTTGGAGTCGGGTTGAGGTATGGGTATACGTTGCGGTGTCTTCTTGTCATCCTCGTCTTCATCTTTTCGTGTGGTGTTGGCAAATGGCTTGGAGGCGAGGACGCGGCGCCTTAGTTCTGCCATCTCCTCTTCATCGTCTGACGATTCAGGGATGTTGTAAGGGTTCCTTGGGTCAATCTTGTCTTTGTCATCTTCATCCTCGCCACTTTCTCCGTCTTCATCATCTTCATCTTCCTCATCCGAATCATCAATGACGCGCCTGTTCATATTTCCGCCAGCCCATTCGTCTTCCTCGAGACCCTCTTCCTTTTCAGTCCTGCTCGTGTTGTATTCGCGCTCAATCTTCTCAAGCCATACTTCCTCTGCCTTTTTGATCTGCTCTTCGTTCTCGCACGCCAGATAGCGCTTGAGGAGGGCGGCATTGATGTCTAGAAAGGCTTGGCCGTACGAAAAGGTTGATAATATCGACTCGGCCCACTCAGGGTGTCCACAGATGTAGAAGCATGCGGCTAGCGCTTCAACACAATTTAATCGCCATGGCCGACCGTAGTTGGTTGGGTTTGCCGCGACAAGGTAGGGTAGCAAGCGTTCGCATTTGCCACCTATCCTGCCAAAAGGCACTTCGTCAATTCTGTTCCAACTAGCTTCCACGACTGCGGCGCCATATTGCTCCAGTAGGTCCTTGTCTTCGCGACTTATGATTTTCTTCGCCTTGGGGCTCACGACCACACCCGCAAACTTCTGGCCTACATGCAACTCGCGCATCATGCCTAGGCGCATGAGCCTCTTGCCTGAGCATCGTTTCGCATCGCAGTGTCCGAGATCCCAACATGCAGCCTTAAATTCAGGTTTGGCGGGTCGCGGATTGGCCGCGTCGTTCTCGTCTTCATCTGATGTGCGGCGGGGGCGAGGGGCAGGGCGTGCTTTCGCGGGGTTTTTGAATTTATTGTTGCCTTTGAAGTCCTTCTTGTGACGAACCATTTTCGGCTTGGATGTGTGACTGGGAATGTAGGTAGATTGATTGCGCGAGAGTCAGTCGTCAAGTGCGGAGGGGCAAGCGTCTGGAATAACTTTGCAATCGATAAGTGGCGCTAAGTCCAGTGACGTCTACCATGCAGATTGACTACCACTCGCCAAAACTAGAAGGATATAATGGATTGGGTAATGAGTTTTCCGAGGCATATAATGCATGATTCCAAATGTCGCCACTGTAAATGCTGATCAAAGTGCCCAGCGCGAAACAATAATTCATCGTTTCTTGTAGCAAAACACTATAAAACACCAAGGCTGGCTATCTCCCCCATTTCATTTTTCTGCTGTCCGCCAAGAGAGTACGAAGCCTTCCACCTCATCTTGACGTTGTTGCCCGACCCGCTTTGGACATTCTTCACGTGGATGTTTTGTGTGATGCCAAATCTCTGGTTCGGCCCGAGATTGACGCCCGATTGTGGTTCCAGCTGCAGTTGTGCGCCCTGCGGATTGTTAGTGACCAATGCAGAGCCCATACTACAATGCCAATCTTACTTTTGAAGCTGCAACCTGCAACGTCAAACCGGAGACGGGCAAAGGTGTGTTGTTGGATATCCGCGACTGGATTAGCAGAACCGTGTCTGATTCTCTCGAGACATTGAAGAGGATGTTGATACTTGTGTTCGTGACTGTCAATTCTTTGGACGTATCAGGTACAGAGGATGCAAAGTCCCATTCTTCATCGTCATTAGCCGCATTGGTGGTACTTTGCGTGAGATTTGTCGTTGGTGCGGAGGCACCACCGCCCAGCAAATCAACAACACCAGAAGCAGGAGCTGGTGGCTTGACAGATTGTTGGTACTGGAAAGGCGAGGCCTGTCGAGGCGTAGAAGCAAGAGCAGCAAATGGGTCTGGTGTGCGAGCTGGTTGCGGCGGCGGTGTCGAAAAGGTTGACAGGGGAGGCGACGCTACTGGAGGCTGGCTTGGCTTCGGTCCTGCAGTGAAAAGATTGGTAATGGCTTGGTTGGATGCCTTTTGTGGAGCTTGCGATTGCGGCACAGCCATTCCAGACATGCCGAGAACTGAGAATAGTTAGCGAGTATTTGACGTGTGAACTTAAGCCTGCCTACCTGAGCCGTTGGAGCCGCCCAGGGCTATGCTGCCACTCTGCCCATAGGCTTCCCCGCTCAATGACAGTCCTAATAAATCATCCTCGAGCGCGTTACCTGCAGCTGGTGGCTGCGACGATTGTCCTGCTTGTGGTGTAGGTTCTGGGTCTCCGAAATCGATCAAGTTCAGCGTGTTGTTCGGGCCTTGAGATACACCAGCCCCACTGCGGCCAAGCGTGCCCTGAGGGATGTTGTTTGCAGCCTCAATGTCGCCCTTCTTGAAGAGCTTGTATCTCTCTATCGTCCTGTGTATACTGTCGTTGATTTCAAACAGCTTCGCTACGGCCTCGTGGTCTTCCGAGTCCTCCTCGCACATTTTCTGGATTTTGGGTTGCGCATTTTGAAGGGCATTTGCCAGTTCCTAATGTCGGGTCAGCCAGATGCCAGATGGCGGCGTTATGGCGCACATACCTCAAAGACATCGCCTTCCTTGATTTCATCGCCCGGCCTGTAGCTCTGCAACATCTCCTCCAAGATTCTGGCCTTTTGTTGTATTTTTCCAACCTCTTCGGCAGCCTTTGCGCGCCAATCAGTCTTGTTCCTCGTGTCATATCCGGCCATGACTTTCATGAGCTTGTTCGCTTCTTGCAAGTCTGCAGGACCACCCCGACGGATCAGCTCTTGAAGCTTTGCAGACTGCGCCTCGCGCTCTTCCTCTGCCATTTCTTCTGCCGATCGGAGGCTCTGCACAGTGTAAGCAACACGCGTCAATCATGACGACTTTGCGCACGTACATCGCTCGGGTTCAGGACAGCAGCGTCTTCTTTGCGGATCTCGGGAAAGATGTATCCCTTGTAACTCAGCAGCCTGTGCATATCCCTTATGAAGCCCAGGTCGTCCTTGTATCGCGACGTCTGGCATATTGTTTGGCGCCATTCTTCTATCAGCTCGAGAATCTTGTTCTGGACTCGCGACGAATGAATTGGCGGGCGTTCGGGGAAGCGGCGCACGAGCTCATTGAGGAACTCCTTGGTACTGATCTGGAGGTGGAAGGGGTAGCCGCAATTCTTGACGCAAATGTCCAGGAGCTGTGGGAGGTGAGCTGTGCACTGTACAAGGCGGGGCAGCGGGGCCATACGTTGAGCGCGAGCAGGGCGACGTTCTGGTTGCGATGATTGACATAGTGCACAATGGTGACGGCTGCTTCTCGGGGCCTGCAGAGCCATTAGACTTGTGCGTGTAGCGGTGGGGTGGCCTGATCCTACGCGGTGCCTTTCTTGCTGTTGATCAAGTCGGCGATTTCGAGGTTGAGGGCCAGGTTGGGCTCGAAGTTTTGCGGGTCGCAGGCTTGCACTGTAGTCCTCGCGTCAGCATCGCCCAGGCACAAGGCATGTGTCTTGCCCACATATGTAGCGCTGCAGTGGTGAAGTGGGTGCCTCTCCGTATATGCCGTAGCGATCCCGGGCTGCCATGCGCGCAGACGCTGCCTCCATTGCGCCGCCGGGCAACTTGGGATGTGGGATGTCGTAGCAGTGGCGACGGGCGAGTCGGAGGCTCAGACGGGTTTCGGACACGTCTGCCGTGCTCGGGGGGGAATCGATGGCGTGTATTCAGAGATTTGGTGGGGATAGGACAACAACAGCCAGACGGCATGGTGAACGGCCTTGGCGCCGCGGCTACGTAATGCGCTTGCATCCCACATGTGGCTTGAAGTTCGACGCCGGCTTATACATGCATGGGCGCGCCCCCAGCTGGGGCTGAATATATTGCATGAGAAGGCTCCTTTTCCACTACAAACATCGTACCTACTTCTGGCGCATCCATGCTGCAGCCGTCACTCAGATCAGCCAGTAGTCCTTGATCAGGTACGCCGCATATCCAGCAAGCCCAGCCACTACCGTCTGAGTGCCCAAGAAGCCTATAGGCCGCCCAATGCCTGCGCCCCCCTTGACATACATGCCGAATTCAGCGTGGATGATGCGAAAGGCGAAGAGTGCGCCAAGCGCATAATTGATGTAGAACCTAGTGCACCAATTAGACTCAGCATGACCACGCATCCTACTGATCCCGTTACCTGTTGCCTCCATTGATCTCAGCGAGGAGCGCAATACCAAGCGCCAACGGCACGTTCTCGGCGAAGTTGACTTGCGCACGTGAAGCCACAAGCAGGGGGTCGATGTTTTCTTTCGAGTCGGCCACTTTATCACCCAGACGACTGTCACAGGCATTAGCCCATTGTTGCTGTTCCTCAACGAACCTCTACCTACGTCTTTGTGCTGAAGCGCTTTCTCACAACGCGGAGCTGGAGGAAAATATAATAGGCCGCAAAGGGAGCTGCCCAAGTCGCAGTCGCAGGGGCAAGGAGCGGCATTGGAACGCTGAGACCAACTTTGGAGGTCATCTTTGCTGCACGAACGGATAGGTAGCTGACTGCCAAAGGAATGTGCGAAAGAGAGCGGCTTTATAAAGCTGTGGGGAGTAAAGTGGAGAGTGGGTAGTAGTAGGTCCGAGATTCACAGGCACTTGGACAGCATGGCGTCATGCGCAGCATTAGCGCATTATATATGAAGCTGCGCAAATCGGCATTGGGTCTTTGGTCTCGCATGATAGATCGTGATTGAATTCTTATCCATGGTTCAGTATAGTACAAGCAAGTAGAGGAGATGGTATTGACGCGCAACGTCCGGCGACTGTTTGAGCATCGGTAGCAAATCTAAGAGAAAAAACAACGTCAGCACAAGAAATTCTATTTCATCCAAGACTATGCAAGATGTTGCTCACCGAGGTTTCGTTGTAGACTTGGCTGCCGAGAAAAAGAACAATTTCAAGGGAACATGCCCTATATTTCATCGACCCTGGGCTTCTATCAGATTCCGTTTCATGGTTTGCGAGGACAAACACTTACAGGATTCATGTGCTCTGCATCGTTTTCTTTATTGTCCTCACGTACTTCTTTGAGCATTTTGTCGATGCCTCGTTCGCTTAGTGCTCTCTGGTGAATATGTTAGAAGCAGTGCTGATCGCCTCGGCATGTGTACGAACAGATAGACATTTTTCATACTGCTCAAATATCGGCTTGCAATCATCAGTCGTAGCGGTACCACGCAGGAATTCTAGGAGCACATTAGAAGATCACTCAAGTAAGATTAGCTGCAATCAACTTGATGCATGACGCACTCTCGCTGTACCACTTTAGGAAGCAATTGTCGTAGCGCCTACCAAATGTTAGCGACATGGCGACAGAGCTTGTGACGAGTCTCACTCTTTAACCTGGTTACATTCCGGTGCTAGCGAAGCGGACATATTTTTTTCCTGGGGTGTGTCAGTGAGGTGAAGGGTGCAGGGCAGCATGCGTATGACGGGGTGAAGGTCGCAGCTCCCGCCTATCGATAAGCAAGTAGCGAAAGCGCGCTAACCCGGAGATCATTGAAGGTTTCTTTCTCCAAACATTTGCGACACGCGCATTCTTTCCACGCCCAACCCACTGTGTCACGTCGAAGCGCGCCGCCACCAGATTCTGCGTCATTGAGAGCCCTTCAGGAGAATGAGCGCACAGTAAACACGTCATGGACTCGTTCAAGACGCTGCAGACAGAAATCTCGGCCGCCCTGAAACCGACTACCAGGTCTGCCGCTGCCATCGGCAAAGCAGACATCCCTTTCCAGAGATCGCTCAATCCTGAGGCTGGCGCACAGTTGGACGCCCAGAATGCGCGCCTCCTTCACCTCGCGCAGCGCCTTATTCAGAATGCTGCAGCGAGCTCGGACGCTGTAGGTCCCAAGCTACCCGACGTGGAAGCCATAGACGCCAATTGGAGGGGGGTTGTTGATGTCATCGACAGCTTGCTCGAGAAGGCCGACACCAGTCTGGACGAGTATACGGGCGTGGTCAAACGCCTGAGTCCCGCCGGCGAACAGGTAGGAGCCAGAGATGCCCAAAGGCGAAACCGTATGTCTAACACGTATGCAGGCTGCCGTGAAGCCCCGCCCCAACATTGCCGACAAGAAGATCATTCCAAAGCCGCAGCTCAAGTTTGAGCATGTGCCAACCAACGACGAGACTGGCGGCTTTCGCCCGCTCGTCACCTCCAAGCCCCATGCCAAGATTCCCCTCGAAGAGTGTATGAAGACATTCAGGGACAAGCGCGGACGGGAACAGTAGGATTACCATGCGGTATGCCCATTACACGCGCTAATCTCTTGTGCAGATACCCTCACCCCTACCAGACCGAGATTGAAGAATACGAATACCCAGCGGCTGTCTACGAGTATGCCGAACCGCAAAAATACAAGCCCTTTGAATCTACCACCGCAACCCTAGTCGACACGCCCGAGGCTCTGGTTACTATGCTCTCGGAGCTGAAGACTGCAAAAGAAATCGCTGTTGACCTGGAACACCATGATAATCGCACCTACATTGGCATGGTGTCGTTGATGCAGATCAGCACTCGTGACAAGGACTGGATAGTCGATACCCTGAAGCCTTGGCGCCGGAAGCTGGAATGCTTGAACGAAGTATTTGCAGATCCCAACATCCTCAAGGTTCTACATGGCGCATACATGGATATTATGTGGCTCCAGCGAGATCTCGGCATCTATGTCGTTGGCCTGTTCGACACCTTCCACGCTGCCCGTGCACTTGGCTATCCCACCGCTAGTCTGGCCTACTTGCTCCAGAGACATGTCAATTTCACAGCCCAGAAACAGTACCAGCTTGCTGACTGGCGCATACGGCCGCTTAGTCCAGAGCTGTTCGAATACGCACGCGCTGACACCCATTTCCTTCTCTACGTATACGACAATATGCGTAACGAGCTGGTTGAAAAGTCTGATTTCGACAACCCGGACAAGAACAAGGTTCGGGATGTACTAGAAAAATCGAAAGAGACAGCATTGCAGCGATATGAGCACCCCATCTACGACAGCGAATTGGGACTCGGCACCAATGGCTGGTATAAGCTGATTTCGCGGACCCCTGCTCAGTTTACTCCCGAACAATTTGCCGTCTTCCGAGCTGTCCACAAGTGGAGGGACGATCTCGGTCGGAAAGAGGACGAGAGCCCGCTATTCATTATGCCAAATCATGCCGTGTTTTCTGTAGCTCGCGCAATGCCGGCAGACAAGCCAGCTCTGTTTAACGCCATACAGCATGTTTCTCACCTTATTCGAGTCCATGCAGACGAACTTGTTAACATAGTCGCCGAGGCCAAGAAAGAAGGCCTAAACGGACCAGAACTACACACAGTACTCCAGACCATCGATGATATGAAAAAAGCAGAACGAGCAGAGTCGGAAACTAGAGTGATAATGGCAAACGTGGCTTCCGCTCCAGTGGCTCCAAGCGCGCCACTAACCCGGAATATCCATACCTCTGCTGCCCGGGCCCCAGGCTCAGAGTTTTGGGGTGAACTGTGGAAGAAGGACCAGGCTTCACGACCACAGCAGAAACTGTCTACCATGGATATCGACCTTGCTCTCCCTCTCCCACCTCTTACGGCACAGGTCTTTGCCGACGCAAACGGAGCCGCCGCAGCTACACCAAAGGCTGAGAAGCCCCAGCACACGTTTATACCAAAGGAAGAGAGACCTGCAGAAGACCAGCGAACTGACACATTCGTCGTGAAGCACCTGGGTGGAGGCAAGAAGCGGAAGCGAGGTGATGCTCAAGAAGAGTCAGAGCCCTCGGCACAGCCCCTTGACCCTATGACCCGAGACGAAATCATGCTCGACGCCCCCGAGGAAACTCCAGAAGCCGCACAGGCTCGTGAGAAAGCTGCTAGGAAAGCCGCACGGAAACAAAAGAAGAAAGAGGCTGCTGTCCAAGCTGCCGCATCCAATGGTGATGAGGCTGCTTTCGACTACGCAAATGCCAAATCAGTCCTCCATGCTGAAGACGAAGACGCCAAGACCAAGAAGAAGGACAAGAAGGACAAGAAGAAGGACAAGAAGGACAAGAAGAAGAAGAATGCAGGTTTCACGGCATTTTCGGGCATGACAGATGCGCCCAAGGGACTGCCGAGAGCGCAAAAGGAGGTCGCGGGGCGGAGTAAGACATTCAAGTCTTGAAGGGTGTAGTCGCACCGAGTACGCTATGCACACTTGGCACGACTTGGTTTTCTCATACTCAAAGAGGCTTTCTGCATTCTTGCGTTTCTTGTACATATACCTGCATCACGATACCAAAAGAATTACTTCCTAATAGCCTAGGTATCGGGAAGACGAACCACAGCTCCAAGACTAGCAAAATTCATCACGGATATTCTCTTATACCATAAGAGAATTGTTGATTACTATGATTAGACTGCGCCCATCCACAGTCTCAGACTTCGTGACCATGCAAAACGCGATAAAAGTGACCATAATTACCATTTCCATGCTGCCCGCCCCCGGGACCCTTGACGTTATCCAGCACAGCGAAAACAACGTCTTGCCACCACCCGCCCTGGAACTCGGGCTCGTTGAAGACCTCGAGAAAGCACGTTGCCACGTCGGCAGGGGGGTTAGCAAAGACGCCGCAGCCCAGGGCGCCCAAGACAAGTCTAGTGTGCTTTTGCAGGGCAGCCATACGCAGCACAAGGCGGATTTTGCGCTTTGTCAGAGCCCTCGCGCCGGGATTCTTGAAGGTCTGGGCATCGTCTGAGAGGGGTGGTTTGCGGAGTGCGGCGGCGCTGATGACGGATACGGCGGGTAGAGAGGCGGGTGGCTGTGCTGCAGTGAGGAGCGTGTGGCCGGTTGCCATGGAGGAGCGGATGAGGACGACATTGGGGGTGTAGATTGCGGCGAGCGCGGGGATGGGGTAGAAGGATGGGGTGAGGGACAGGTAGAGCGAGGAGCGGTAGCAGAGACATTCTTCTTGGGCGAGGGCTCCCTTTTGCCAGCCGCCGCCCGGGGAGCGCTCTGAGGCCAGGTTCAGCACTACGACGGAGCGGTGGGGGTCGAGGAGGTTTGGATTTCTGGCTTCGGAGTCGAGGCTGTCGTCTGGGTTGGCTTTGGAATCCGTGTGCGTCTCATCTGGTCCAGAAGTGCTGTCAGGTTCGGGCGAGCTCAGGTGTATGTCCGCAACTGGCCCTGCCAATGAGTCGGTGGACGGCGTGTCGAGACTATTTTCTGCACCATCAGGCTTGAGGTGAGTGTTCGCCTTTGGTGATGTTACTCCCAGGTGTTTATTAACATTATGGCCGGGGTCTAGTTGTATCGCCGCGTCAAATGAATCCATATTCAGGACCTGGATGCGTGCTTTTTTCTTGAAGCCAGGGCACTGGGCAGCAGAAAGAGTGTCGAGGTCTTCCAGTTGGATAAGTGAAGACTCAGTGGGGTCAAAGCCTGGAATATGGGCAAGGACTCTCGGAAGCTCCGCCTTGGTCTCGTCTGCGACCTTTTCCAGGTCCATGTTGCGGCGGTGATTGGGACCGCGGCGTTTGCTGTTTGGGTGATGTTGTTTCTGGTGGTAGGGTTGACCGGGGCGCGAGTTCTCGGGTCGTGGTCGGGAAGCCTTCAAGAATGGAAGGATGGAGCCCTGCTCCATGGTGGCGGGAGAGTGAGGGTGAAGTAAGCGCGAAGTGCGATGAAGCCTCACAACAACAAAATGATCATGACACGATGCGGGACAAAAGACGTATAGACCAAGCGGGTGCTTGTGAATCAAGTGGTGGTGATGGAGGACTGCTCGTGTAATATGTACAGGCTACTGGTAGATACAATCAGGCACCAGGCGATTAGGCGGGCACAGCACGAGCTAGTCCGTTTACGGCAGATGGTCGTGAGCTGGCGAAAGCAAAGCGCGGCGGCGTGCACAGGAGAAGGCGACCAGAGCGACGGCCAAGGTGCAAGGCTGGCGATAGGCGAGCTCTGGTGCGCATGCGATGGGCATGCGATGACTTGCGATGGACATGCAATAGACATGCAATGCAGCGGTCGCAGCAGGGTTGCATCAGCCCTACCACTACCCTACGCCTACTTACCACTACGGGAATACTGCCGGGCGGTGGGCTGGAGCGAGCTGCCCCACTTTCGCGTAGCCAACAGCGATCATATGGCATTTGGGACTCGCCCCAACAGGCACAAAAACAATGCCAATGCCATCAACACCACCCTCCCCTTACCTCTAAACCCCCCCATATCGACATCTTGGCCGCATCGCTCAGCAGTATCCATGTAACTCTGGCTCCCGTCCACCGGCGAAATGCCTACACACCTGGCGCAGCCCTCGCCCAAGCGCAAACGCGACCAGCCCCCGCCGATTCCCTTGCTCAACACGGCCCTGGCGCTGCGTCCAGCACCCGCGCCAATATCGATACCAGCACCGCCCGCAGCACGAGGCAGCCCGGGCCCCTCGCCTGGCGGTGAAAGCCCCCGAAATGCCGTCGCCGACCAGCTGCGAGACATGACGCTGACGGCGATACCAATGTCGCCGCTTACCCCTACCGACGAGGTGCTGCGCAAGAGGCCGAGGCTGGATGCCTTCAGAGTCGACAGCGTCGCCGGGCCAAGCACAGCGCCTACGCATCAGACGCCAGACAGACACGAGCACGCAAGCACAAGCGCCGTGGACACGATGGCTGGCCCGCCCCATCCCGACGTCTCTAGGGTAATACCAGAGACCCCTCAGTCGTCCCAGCCCCGCTTGTTGCCAGATATCGCCTCTTTCACGCAACCAACCACATTTGCCTCCTCGCCCACAAAGGCCCCGCAGTCACATGCATCTGCCACCCACAAGCCTCGCACGCAAAATCGCCCTTCCTCACATCCTCGCCCTCGCCCTCGGTCGCCCACGCCTCCGCCAGCAACTCTTACGTGGCAGGACAGCGAGATCACGGGACACCTGGTCGACCCCCTGACCGACCCAGACGACGACGGTACCGGCATCAACGGCATTGGCTTCAAGCCCACGCCTGCCCTGGCCTATGCCAGGTCCCAGAAGCGACGGCAACAACTGAACGAATGGAAGCTGAGAGAAACTCGCGAGGCGAGAGCCAGGCGCAGTGAGCGGCGCCGCAGGGGCATCAGAGGCACGCCGTCGCGAGAAGGTACAGTGGAGCGCGAGGTAATAGTAGAGAAGAGGCGGACAGTCAAGTTTGCCGTATAACGACGCGGTGGGCATAATGGTAATTTCCAGAAAATTTGCAATATTGGCGGCAGATTTCTGCCCTGGATAACGATGATTCACGACACTCATGATACGGACGGCACATTGGGCGTACAGCGGCGCAGGGAGTTTACACGTTTATTCTACATTTGGCACACTTATTTCATACCGGGTTCTTATGGATCTGTGACATTCAACATTAACAAAGCTATCTTACACATACTCTACCAAATCTGCTTTGCAACTTGATCGTTTGCGTGCACTGTGCCCATCTCCACTTGAGCCGCAGGAGAATCCACACGCGCACGTGACAGCGCGCACCCGTTGTGCCCCCTTTGACCCACTTTGACCTCTCACAAGTTCCATACAGATAGGCAAATTCAGGGAATCACGCAAACGCTTTCATTCGCTGTGCAATAAGCGATTCCTGAATACAGTCAATAACAAAATAAATACTGCGTACTGCTATTGAGAGTTCGTAGTCGCTGCTGACACCGGCGGATCCCTGTTCCGGCGTCGTCATTGCTCCCTGGATGCTTCAGCCTGCTCCCCAACAACACTAACCTGCAGCAATACTCAAAGTCCTTTACACGTCTAGCTTCTTCAAAGGATATCCATTACTGAACAGCAGACCCTCTTCTTACTGAAACGCGCGTGATTAACACAATGCGGTTGCTGCGCGTGGCTCCGCTGCTGCCGCTCGCAGGTGCTCTCATCACGCGCGATGTGCCTCCACGCGCAAAGCAGGTTGCCATCATTGGTATATCATGTGCCCAAAGACGATCCATCCAAAGCTAACTGGAAACAGGCGCAGGAGCAGGTGGCTCATCGACTGCCTACCATCTCGCCCAGTATGCTGCCGAAGCAGGCATTCCCGCCAATATTACCGTGTTCGAGCGTAACGACTACATCGGCGGGCGCACCACCACTGTTCATCCGTGGGATGACCAGACCATTTTCGTCGAGCTTGGCGGCTCTATCTTCGTCCAGGCAAACCGCATCATGGTGAAGGCCATGGAAGACTTCAACCTCTCGCATGTTGGCCAGGATCTTGCAGAGGAACTCGGGCTGCCAGATCTTGGAATCTGGAATAGCGAGGAGTTTATTGTTGTAACAAAATCAGACGAAAGCTGGTGGGATACAGCAAAGTTGCTATGGAGATACGGTACGGCGCCAATATGGACGAACCGGCTGATGAAGGGTGTTGTGGGCCAGTTCTTGTCCATGTACGAAGAGCCGATATTCCCATGGAAGAGCCTGACTGGTGCCGTTCAGGCTGTGGGCCTGGCGGGCGCCGTGGGCGTGACGGGCGAACAGTACCTCAAAGCGAACGGAATTGGAGAGGCCTTCTCGAAAGAGATTATCCAAGCGAGCACTCGAGTCAACTACGCGTCAAACCTGCCATTCATACATGGTGTGGAGACAATGGTTTGCATGGCTACTAATGGCGCTACGCAAATCCAAGGTGGTAACTGGCAGATTTTCGCCCACATGCTGAAGGCTGTCCACGCCAATGTCTATCTCAACACATCCGTCAGCCGAATCTCAAAACAAGCCGACGGCAACTACATGGTTACTACAAATAGGGGTCACACATCATCCTTCGACGAAGTCATCGTTGCGACGCCTCTACAATACTCGGATCTTGTCATCGATCCTGCGCCACAGCACATTCCCGACGAAATTCCGTATACGAACTTGCATGTAACACTGTTTGCGACACCTTTCCGACTTAGTGGCAAGGCTTTCAACCTCGACTCCAAGGCGCCCGTACCAGAAACCATTCTCACCACTCTACCCCCATCTGAAGTCCCTGTAGATGGCGTTGGCTCTCCTGAATTCTATAGCATCTCCATCACCAATACCGGCCTCAACCCGCAGTCATCACCGCCTCGGTTCGAGCACATCTACAAAGTATTCTCCACCTCTCCTGTCACTGCCTCCTTCCTCTCCAACATGCTCGGCCAAGAGGTTTCTGACGAGGAAGCTGAGCACGGCAAAGCCAACGGAACTGTGAGCTGGATCCACCACAAGGTTTGGAATGCGTATCCGCGAGAATACCCACGCGTTACTTTTGAAGAAATCAAGCTTGACCATAGCTTGTGGTATACCAGTGGCATAGAGAGCTTCATCAGCACCATGGAAACTAGTGCTTTGAGTGGCAGGAACGTGGCCAAGCTAATAGCAAACGAGTGGGTGGGTGTCGATTCCAAGGAGGGATATTCCAACGCTGCAAACGATGAAGGCTACCAAGTTGAGCTATGAGAAGGACAGCTTGCCATTATTGCTGCATAACATGCTTACTTCGCTGAAAAGCCCTTATGATACATGTGAGTTTTTTTTTAGGCAAGATCAACACGCATTCCTAGTGAAACAGAATGGGATTGGTGTGTGCTTTCTTTAGCGCGAGACTTTACAATGTTTCTTCTTTTCTTTGTGAAGTGCTTGATACAGATGCGTTTCGTATCAGGCGAGAGACGAGCTTCATCGCAGTATGAGCGTTAATGTCTGCAGGACGGGCAAATGAGAAGTTATACGATAAATGAATGTTTTGTTCTATCCCACAATATCTACCCGAAACAAACAAAAGAAGACCATGATACTAGAGAATGAACCTTGCCCACGCTATGCAGTAGCTAAACAAACCATCCAGTAGCGCGACATCGCCATACAAATCGACCGACAGAAAAGCCCAGCCACCCCTGACCATATCCTCCGTTCCCAAGAAACACACACTTACAAAGGCACGTTAGGCACGATCAAGCCACCCTGGCTCTTGAGCGGATTCTCGCTCGGCTGCTTGGTCACGGTGTTGACAGCCATCTGCTTGTACCTAGCGAGCGTCTTATCGCCGTCGAAATTCTGGTTTACCACGCCGCTCATGCCCTTCTGGCAATGGTTGCCATTTGTCTGCGAGCAGTAGTACCAAAAGGGGTTTTTATCCTTGACGACGACGCGAAAGACGTTGGGCGCCTCGTGCTCGGTCGTGTTGAAGTTGAAGCCCGAGAAGACGGCCGTGGGCCCGCCGAGCGGCTCGCAGGGCCGCTCGAATGACGATTGCACCACCGTGTGTGCTTTGGGTAGGAAGTGGAATTCTAGTACGTCCCCGATCTCGGCTACGACGTTCTCCGGCTCAAAGTGAAGCCCGTTGTTGGCGGTCGTCGAGCCGGCGGTGATTCGGTGGGTGACGCCTGTGGAGCGCACTTTGCCGGCGGTTAAGGCGCTGCTGAGGCTGAGCAGAGACGTCGCTGCGAGGAGGATGGTTGAAGGGGAGAAGCTGAGCATGGTGGTGATGGTGGTGGTTTTACTTGAGGTGTTTGGTGTGAGTTGATTTGGTGGCTATTAAGGTAGCTTGAATAAGTAGTCCAAATGCTGGTGATGGTTTGGATGGAGAGGAATTGATACTGTGGTGTTGTTGTGATGATGGGTTTCAATCTCGACGATTGCACACTCTCACATATATACTCGTCTTCATGTCCACATCGCAAATCAGCGTTTTCTATTCATGACGCGCGGACATAGCCTTCGGATGCTGCTGTTGCCGTCTAGCAGTAAGCCGTTGCTGTTGTTGCTGTGCGATGTCGCCAGCACAGGTGAGCTCAGCCTCAAAGCCTCGACCTTGATGACGCTGCGGAGAGCAGCACCAGCTTGGAGTTGAACACCAGGGAAATGGTATCTTGCGCAGCGGTCTGCTTTTTTTGTTCGAATCATGTTATTCTAGTAAGTGTCAGGCGCGCCACTGCTGAGAGGCCCAGCTGATGGCCTTGCTGACGGGGCTGATGTACATAGTGGGCACGCTTGCTGGATCCGTTGTGGCTAAGCCTTTGGTTCGAAAACAACATGCTGGGTAATTGCTGCAGTGTTGAGTCGGCTTAGAATAGGCATTGTTCTCCAAGGGAGCGTGTTGCTGATGCCGATGCTGATGAGGACGGTGATGATGCGCTTGCCCCATATCTGCTAGTCGTGCTCACAGTGCTTTGAAGGCGTGGAGGCGTGGAGATTGCGACTGTGCCACGTTGTGGCCATGTCTAGTAATCCTCGATTGATGTTATTCTTGTCAGTTAGTAATCGGCCGACTAATTTTGGAAATAGGTCTGGCTTGCAATACGCAAGGGGTGACTACTCTTCACACTCGTCTCAATCCCGCTTGGCCGTTGATGCTGTTGCGTATCCTCCCATAAGAGTTGCTGTTTATGTGTGGGTGGGATGGAAGGATTCGGAACCTCAGAGCTGCTGCAGCTCTTAGTGTGCAAAAATAGTGCAATAACAAATGCGTAGAGTGGGTCGTTTTTTATTGCAGTATTTTGACGCACCTCGGGCTAGCTAAGGTGATGCTAAGACCACCAGCCGCTTGAGTGAATAAGATGCTGCTCAGGCGCTGTGTCTCGTTCATCTGCTTCTCCATATACGCATGTACGGGAGTTTCCTTGATGTCTTTACTGACGTTCTGATAAAGTAAATCGTGTCTTTCTCCATGACAAGAACCGGATGGGTTTTACGCTGGGTATCGCAAGACAATTGGACAGTCTGCAGCCGAGATACAGGTTGGTACATCGACCCCCCAAATCAATCTCCGTGCTGGTTCTCAATAGACTGTAAGGGAATAAAGCGAGCGTTGCAGTTGGAACAGCTGACTTGGGGAGAGATTGCCAAGGCGCTTCATACGCGTTCATCACGTGAGGATCAATCGAGTCAGCGATACAGGCACCGTACACTCATGATAAACACAGGGATTGTCCAGAATCGTAATTTGACAGGCAACAATTACGCACTAAGCTATCAAACTTGACACTCATAGCATACCGGGTCTTTTTGACGAAGCGAGGCAAGGTAAGCATGCGGGACTGAGGGGTGTCATTCATGTGCCCTCCAGACAAATCCAGTGCCAGTTGAACCTAGCACCATACTACTACGACGACCGCGCGGCTATCAAACCATTGACGAGGTGTTTGTTTCGTGGCTATGAAAACTTCATGGTTCAAGAGATTGTCGACCCGGATTTCGGACACTTGCACCCTCGGATTTTTGCAGTTTCGGAATCCTTGGCGGTTCCATGCTCGTCACACCCACAACATCAGGTTCCCGTCCGAGGCAATCTAGCCATGCTCTACCACTGAGAATGAGGGGAACCCGACTTAGGAACAAGGATGTGTTATCAAATTCCCACTGACACTGAGAAGCCCGAGAGGGCCGGGACATGGAATCTCGATATGCCGCTCGAGAACCCCACATATTCTCCTATCCTTGGGCACCTCCTGATGCGCTGGTACGGTTGAGGTATGTACTCGGGACCTATGAATGGTCATGTTTTCTCGCACGGCACAAGGAAGCCTGGGCCCGTATATCTCTCGGTATCGGCGGAACAGTAGGGCAATCCGCCCCGACGGGCTGGGGACGTTAAGTTGCCGTCGCATTGACCTGCTCACCTTGCCATCGTATTCTCTGGCATCTGTCCCATTTGCCCACGTGGATAGCCTGAAATGATCCCTGCCGACTGGTGACGGGTTTGGTGGAGCACGTCAGACAGCCACCGTGCTTAAACGATCCCAGTCCTCTCCACAAGTATAAGTACTGCTCGTGCCACTTTTCAAGTTGGTCATTACGGACCAAAATGCATAATTCTATCTTGCTGTCCTTCTGGGCAGGCATCTCCTTCGTCATCTATAAGATTGTATCTTCCATCATCACTTCACGCCGACATGCAGCTGCTGCACGCCGACTGGGTTGCGTGGACCCCCCTCCCATGAAACAGTCGATTTTCGACCCTCTGGGAATCAAGGGCGTTATAGAGGTACTCAAGGCAGACAAAGAGCACCGTTTGCTACAGTATTTCAAGAAGCGCAGCGACCTAAACTGCGATGAACAAGGCAATCCCATCAATACGCTCACCCAGCATCTCCTGGGCACCAAGACCGTTTTCACCACCGACCCTAGAAACGTCCAAGCCATCCTGGCAACGCAATTCAAAGACTTTGGACTAGGAAGAGTTAGGAACGCCACCTTCGCCCCGCTACTGGGTCATGGCATTGTAAGTCACATGTCTAATGTGTTTGACAGGCGCTAGGCTCTAACACAGAATAGTTTTCTTCAGACGGCGAGCAATGGGCAAAGGCCAGGGCACTTCTCCGACCCCAGTTTGCACGGGACCAAGTGAGCAACCTGGAACTGGAAGAGCAACACGTGCAACACTTGATGCGAGTTATACCCATGAGTTCCAATGGCTGGACCGAAGTCACCGACCTCGAGCCTCTTTTCTTCCGCCTGACTATCGACTCGGCAACGGAATTCTTATTCGGCGAAAGTGTAGACTCGCAGCTCTCTGCCTTGCCTGACTACAAGTCGAGCAGAGGCACCGTGGAGCAAGACTTTGCCACGGCATTCGATCAAGCTCTGAACGCGATTTCTATCAAGCTACGATTCGGAGATGCCCCTTGGCTCGTCTACAACAAGATGGAGAAGGTGTACAACAAGCGCTGTCACGCATCCATTGACCATTACATTCAGCTTGCGTTATCAAAAGACAAGACGGCACGACAAAATTCAACCGAAAAGCAAAAGTACGTCTTCCTTGACGCACTTGTAGAGGCAAACCAGGATCCTGTAGAGCTCCGAAGTCACCTGATATCGATCCTGCTGGCGGGCCGCGATACCACGGCGTCGCTACTGTCATACGTCTTCATGTCTCTGGCCCAGCACCCTGAGGTGTACGAGAAGCTACGTGGCGTCGTCAAGGACTCTTTCGGCACCTATTCCAACCCCAAGAACATGACTTTCGAGGCGCTGAAGTCATGCAACTTTCTACAATGGGTGTTGAACGAGGCCCTTCGTCTGTACCCAGTTGTTCCCCTCAACAGTCGTCGTGCCCTTCGCGACACCACACTCCCCACAGGCGGTGGTCCTGACGGCACAGCGCCCATCTATATCAAGGAAGATATGTCCGTAGACTACCATATTTACACTATTCACCGACGGAAAGACCTTTGGGGACAGGATGCCGACGAGTTCCGGCCAGACCGTTGGGATGGCAGGAAGAGCGGATGGGAATATCTGCCCTTCAACGGCGGCGCAAGAATCTGTATCGGACAGCAATTCGCTCTTACAGAGGCCGCATATACCGTTGTAAGACTGGCACAGAGATTTGAGAAGATCGAGAGTGCTGGAAACTTATGGGATGGATCTACAAAGGGTGGATCGGATCACATTAAGCACAATCTGAGCCTGACAACTTGCCCAGCGGGTGGTGTCAAGCTTCGGATGAAGGAGGCCCGGGAATGATTATTAGCATGATGACTATATAGATACCTTTTTGTTAGCATCAATAGCGTTTTTTATGAATGACTTCGTTCCAATTTTTGGGGCTTGAACCAGGCCGTGTTTGCATGATGGAGTGTTTTGGCCACGTGATGGAGCCAAGCCCAAAGCGAGTGGAGAATGGCCGAGTCGGCACGGGGGCGCCATTAGTGTTAGTGATGACGGGCCCGGGCAAGGATCCGTCTGCCGGCGGGACAATCTCCAAACTTTTGAAATGCACTTTTGACCATCCATTCTGCACGACACTGCCCACGATGCGGCGAGCGCGCGGACTCAGGGTAAGCAAAGCAAGGAGAATTTTGGCACCGCCGGACTTGCCATTGACTCGTTCGCAGGTTTCGTCCACTCGCGATATATGCGTCTTCTGCGCCACTCGTCAACTGGCCGTCTCAAGCGCACTCCCTTCGCCATCACATGCCACCCAACGCCGCGAACTCAACTCTTCCAGTCGATCCCCGCAGTCGGCGGAAGGAGTTATATACCAGGATGAAAATGAGCGCCAGAAGCCCATGTCGCAGGCAGAGAGGATGCGGCAGGTCTTGGCCGCCAACGCTGCTTTCGCCCCTCCGCAGCCCCAAGGAGGATACATGTCGCCCGCCGAGAGGATGAGAGCGTCTTTGGCGGCTCAGAGACCTCAGCAGACGCAGACGCAGCCTACACGCCTGAATCCGCTCGACCGACGGCCAATGAACAGAAGTGGCGTGTCGGACGGACAGAGCCGTCAGCAGAACAGAGACAGATTTGCACCTGCTGGCCGGCGAGCAGGCGGCAATGAGCGGATCGACTATAGAACACCACAGCAGAATCGCTACACGGTCAATATGGACTCCAGGCCACCAGTCAATATGCCCGCATTCGGCCCTGGCCACTTGAGACGCCGCAACGAGCCACAACACGAACGCGCTTCATTCGGATCAGACAATCGAACAGCACAGCCCGCTCATAGGGTTCTGCCACAGAGAAAAATGCTGGATCAAGACGAGATCTCTAAGCTGCTGGGCGACGCATCCACCACCACTCGGCCGTCGAAGCCATACCAGCCGCTTGCGAGGAACGCAAACGCCCAACAAAATTGCTGGCACTGTGGCTCCAAGGAGCATGGAAGCAACCTGTGTCCGATGAAGCCGGCCTTGCGGGACCGTCAACAGCGAACCGAGCAAGGCACAGCTTCCTCCCGACCGCCGCAGCGCTTCAAGGAATCAATCTCGGATGCAGCAGAGGCTTGGGCACAGAAGTCAAAGGGCATACTGGACATTGAACCACCATCCCCGTCGCAGATAGAGGAAGATACCAGGCGACGCAATGACATCGAGAGCGAAAGAAGACGGAGCCGCTTTGCGTTTGATGAGCCCGAGGAAAAGAATCGCTATGAAGAGCCTGCACGTCGCCAAGGTGGCAACAAGGGTAGGAAAGGACGCGTGCAGCGGTTCGATGAAGAAGATGATGACGAAGGCCCATCTATAAGCAAGGCAGAGCGCAAGCGATTGCGGGCCGAAGCGAAGAAGGCGGCGCAGGCTGCAAAGAACGAACCCACTCCTATCTCTTTACCGGAGTACATTAGCGTTGCCAACCTGGCAGGGGCCTTGAAGTTGCGGGTGGAAGACTTTGTGCAGAAACTAGAAGAGCTGGGTTTTGAAGATGTACAGAACGACCATATCCTCAACGCCGAGCATGCTGGGCTTGTCGCACAAGAGTATAATTTCGAACCAATCTTTCAGTCGGAGGAAGACGATGGCGACCTGTATCCCGCACCACCTTTGGAACCCGAGGCCTATGTTCAGCTGCCTGCTCGACCGCCGGTCGTCACCATCATGGGACATGTCGATCACGGCAAGACGACGATTCTCGACTACATGCGCTCGACTAGTGTTGCTGCTACAGAGTTTGGCGGCATCACGCAGCACATCGGTGCTTTCAGTGTGCCGCTAGCAAACGGGAAGAAGATTACTTTCCTCGACACTCCTGGCCATTCTGCGTTCGAGACAATGCGCGCTCGTGGTGCTCATGTCACTGATATTGTTGTTTTGGTAGTTGCTGCTGACGACTCGGTTATGCCACAGACTGTCGAGGCTATCAAGCATGCACAGGCCGCCAAGGTCCCTATAATTGTCGCTATCAACAAGATTGACATACCACAAGCCGACCCGGACACTGTTAAGCTCGATCTCGGTCGTCATGGCATCGAGGTTGAAGACTTTGGTGGTGATATCCAGGCGGTCTGTGTGAGTGGAAAGACAGGTCAAGGCATGCCCGATCTCGAGGAGGCCATCTCAACACTCTCTGAGATGCTGGACCACCGCGCTGATCCTCAAGCTGCTGTTGAAGGGTGGGTCTTGGAGGGTACAACCAAGAAGTCTGGGCGTGTTGCGACCGTCCTCGTCCGCAGCGGTACTCTGCGTCAAGGCACATCTCTCGTTGCAGGCACTAGTTGGACACGTGTACGCAGTCTGCGCAACGAAGCAGGCGTTGCAGTCAATGAGGCCGGGCCCGGAATGGCTGTCGAAGTCGACGGCTGGCGCGACCAGCCCATTGCCGGTGATGAAGTGCTCCAAGCCGAAGACGAACAGCACGCAACTTCGGTTACCGAGTTGCGCATTAAGAAAGTCGAGAGAGAACAGATGGCGCGCGACATGGAAGCTATTAACGAATCTCGCCGTCTAGAGGCTGAGCGTCGTGAGGCTGAGGAAGCCGCCGCCAAGGCTACTGAAAACGGCGAAGAGGCTGCCGCGCCTGAGAAGAAGGAGGCTGGTCCAGAGGTTGTGAGTTTCATCGTCAAAGGCGACGTCTCAGGCTCCGTAGAAGCTGTCATAGACTCGGTCGCCGGTCTCGGTAACGCGGAAGTTTCTACACGCATCCTCCGCCACGGAGTCGGTGCGCCCTCTGAATTCGATGTATCGCACGCGGCCGATGCCCAGGGTCATATCGTAAATTTCAACACCACAATTCCAGGAAATGTGGCCAAGCTCGCGGAGGAAAAGGGCGTCAGGATCCTGGACAGCAACATTATCTACCGTGTCGTCGAAAACGTCAAAGAGCTCTTGTCAGAGAAGCTCGCACCAAAGGTCATTCATAAAGTTACTGGCGAGGCGGACATTGCAGCCGTATTTGAAATCGGACTAGGTGGTAGGAAAAAGATGAAGGTTGCGGGCTCCAAGGTGCGCAACGGTATCGTGGATAGGGGCACCAAGGCAAAGGTGCTCCGTGGCGATACGCTTGTTCATGAAGGTAGGCATTAACACTGTCAGCACAAGAGAAAACCTATGCTAACACTCATTAATAGGTGTGATCAGCTCAATCAAAAACCAAAAGAAGGATGTCGAGCAGATGCGTAAAGACACCGAGTGCGGCATTTCCTTTGATAATTGGGAAGACTTTAGAGTCGGTGACAAGATTCAGTGTTATGAGGAAAAGTTTGAAAAGAGGAGCTTGTAGAATACTGTATTGTACATACTATTTCCAATGACAAATAGAGGTTCCGTGTGCATCTACATAACAGTTCTCCAACAACCAAACTCCTACTTAACCCTTGTTTCAAATCCGCAAGCAGCTATTCCGATAACCATTCATGCACCAGGCTGAAACGCTACTACGCTGTAGCACCACTACGCTAACTAGATGCAGCATAACTACTACTACCACTAAACGTAGCTCCATTACCAGTGCTACAAATAAGGCAACAGGACACTCTGTACCCTAATGAGAGGATCTTGGGTTCCCTCGGCATACTGCAAGGCCACTTCTCGCCTTTCCAAACAGTTTACCAACGGTAGAAAGCCACCACCACCAGTCCATAATATATCCTAGAGCACACTCCGCACACAGCTGATCTACGAAATATGACATATGTCCCAGGTGCTCACGATCGAAATAGAAGTGACTGTCGTTCGTGCCGGAGTTTTCGTAAGCGCAAACATACACGCCATTCAGATTGTAACCAAAGTAAGGAAGCCAGTTATTCAGTTGTCTAACACCAATAGGGGTATGGCTCACTCGTTTTAACTCCCACAACGAGGCTCTGCGCCGCAACGTCCCATTAATGCATTCCACCGCGGCCACACATTGTGGATGCTCCGCGAGTACGAGAAGGTATTAGGCTCGTCTTGGCGATAAGACAACAGTCTTTGCCGTACCTCTGGATGGTGGTAACACGTTCATAGGTATTGCTAGGTTATAGCGACTACAGGAACTTGTTCAAAAAGGTAGGTTTGCACTGATGACCACTGTATGCAGGGGGCATATATACCATGACGGACTTTGTACAAACAGCATAGCATTCAACAACGCTTTTTAAAAAAAAACTCCAGCAGAGACGAAGGCTACGGCATACTTTGTAAGTTTTTGCGCCTTTCTGGGAATGTATAGCTATATGTTGTCTAAAAAAAACGGTAGGGACTTGAAGATGAATGAGTGCACATGAAAAGCCGACAAATTGTACTGCTCGTGGGTGCATTCATGCAAGATATACTTGGAAAACTGCACTAAATGCGTTTATAGGTTCTGGGTTGATAGGTTCGCCAAGCGTCTTCCTGGGTTGTGATAAAACGTAGCAATAGAGAGATGTTTCCCGCAGACTAGAATATGCATTGTCTGGATTACTCACAATTCTGGCCTGGGATCAAGTTTTGCGCAGGTCTGAGTGGGCTGCGCTATCTTGTGAGTGACCAAGTCAGGTTCACTACATACCCCACTTTTCCGCGGAGGGGCATGGAAACAACCCACGGTCGCTCTTACCACACTGCTGATATAGTTTTTGCAATTCCTAATCTTCAAGTCTTCAGTAGTATAGTGACTACTGAGATGGTTGTCAAGTTTTCGTGAACCCGTTTTGGGAACAGCCCGCCAAGCCACACTAAATTCCCTATCTCGGTGACCAGTTTCGGGAGACTGGTTTTGGACAGAGAAGCGCTAAACGAGATGCTATACGCAAAAGACAACGCTGTTTTAGAAGTCTTATGATACTAGGGCCGCATAATGAAGACCTTTTCATTTGGTCTTCTTGTTCTCTTTCTCTCGTTTCTTTTCTTCCTTTTCTTTCCCTCCTGGTTTTCCTTCCGCGTCCGTTGCATAACAACTTACCATATATCTATACTAAGCTATAAAACCGCCTTCTTACTAGATACTGTTCGCTTGCTTACGTCTGCGAAATGGTTCGTGGGAAGAGCAGATCTACTAATGTAGCAGATCTGCAAGCACTCGCCCAGCAACAGGATGCCCATGAAATCACTGCAGAAGAGATAGAGCAAATGCTTATCCCCGAGAGTTTGGAGCAACACAAGTACACGATTAAACTCTGGATTGAGTAAGTGACCGCTTAGGTTCGAAATTTCAGCTAACAAAATAGGTTCTCGAACCAGGTCCTAGGTACCCGTCTACTTGAAGAAAAACCCTTCCCCCAACCTCCATCTGCACAACAGATCGTGCTTTTTCTTACCTGGTTTACTCGGACTAGCAATGGGCTAATTGACGAGAAAATTAACGACACTACGATCGCAAACCGTCTTCGATGCCTCAAGCGAGCGATAAGATTGTTCACCAACTACGTTTACAGCAAAGCCGACAACAGCAAATTTGCTCAACTGATCGAGAAACAACTTCCTCAATCTGAAGGCCTATCAACAAAGGCGTACGATAAGCCTCTAGCACCACTACATGTGAGCAAGGACATCGTTCGCTTTCTATGGGCATGTGATGAATATCGATTCCAACACCCTCGCGCACGTCTCCAGCTTGCATTTTCTATGGTCATATTGACTCTGATGGGAACGCGCCCAGGAGAGTTTATTGAATCGTCAAATTGGAAGGACACGAATGAAGGACTACTCTATCGTGATGTGAAGTTGCTTAGGTCTTCGGAAGATAACGGACAGTTTGTACTACACGTACAATTGCGGAACCGTAAGGGCCACAGGCATAATCAAAAGCAAGGGTATGTTTACTACTTTCCTTAACATAGCGAATTGTCAATGCTGACTAGAGCTTAGCGCACTGATGCTTCTCACTGAGGAGCCAGGAGATCGGGCGCTTTGTCCGGTGACTTACTTCCTAGCGCTTGCACTTGCAGATGGGGTATTCGAGGGATGCAAAACACTTTCCGACCTTCGGTCTAAGAAACCGCCACTTGGTAGCTCTTACTGTGAATTTCCTTACCATGCTGACGTTGGATCAACACCAATCCTACGGAGTTGCCGACCCGACGGATCGATTTCTCCGACAAGAATACTTACTTATGACGGTTTCCATGTAATGATCCGAAACCTTGGGCAAAGGGCAGGCTACAAGGATAAACTGACTTCCTACTGCTTTCGCCGTGGGTATGGAAATGCGATTGATAGTATGTCTTTTGTTAATACCTTAACCTCTAGTCGCACACTAATAGTTACAGAAACCGTCACAGCTACACAGAGACGGCAGTTGATGGGGCATGCTAATGATAACGTCTTTCAAAACTACATATCTTCGATGATTGGGATCGATTCGCAAAGTGTCGTTTTCGGGAGAGATCAACGCCTTGGGCTTATTGGTAACCACAGTTCGATGATGCTCCACCGCAACCTACTAGCCCCCATGCCTCCTGGATCACAACTAGCAGAAACAAATCCACCAGATACGAGCCAAAACGACGATACCGACCTCCCATACGACAGGCGGAAGTATCTGAAGAGGAAAGCCTTCCAAGAAGAGCGACGGCAATTTTTTCAAGGCGAGTCTACTACGACGAGATCGATATCAACCAACGGTATCCGAACACCCTCCCGATATCTCAGAGCATTATTCAAATTCGAGGTAGACCGTCGTAGAGCTGTAATGCTCATGTACCCAGATATTAGGCTGGATGACAATGAGGAAGACCAGGGCAGTGAGGGCCATGATTATGGCAGCTGTGAGGCAATTGAGATGACTCAACACTCTCAGAGTGATGATTGCGTTTCACTCGAGCAAATAGTTCATCCACTTCAAAATATTGCCAACGGAAGTAGACTGCGTTTCGCATACGGTGGTGCGGAAACTATTGTGAGCGGCTGTTGCAGTTTTTGTGAGAAGAACCTTGACGGGTATGCGCATCAATTCTATTCTACTGCAGATATGCTAATTGATTTTTAGGGAACGTCTTGACCGGGTGAACCTACATCTACTACGTTGCGCAGACCAAAGACGACGCAGAGAGGCGAACGATTTCATGAGTAGCCGATTCGCATACGTCCATTGGTGTCATTGGAATGATTGCCTTTTCGCTTTTAAGAATAAAAAACATGAGACATGTTTACGCCATGTGACCCGCCACATCGCGGAGAACAAATCGCATCAATGTATGTGGGGCCGATGTCATGAGTCCTTCGACAGCCATGAGGCATTGGCATACCATCTTTCCAAGAAGCACAGCGTGCCAACTGAATGGACAACACTCACGAATGTACGATACTGCTTCGAGCACAATAGGTGGTATCGCGGAAACCATGTGTGGGATGTACACCTCAGGAAGACGCATCTTCCCGAGTTGAACGACTTCTGTGGCTTAATTCGTCAAGGTGGGGCTATCCTAGTTGCAGCACATTGCTTATTCTGCATCGGCAACACTACGGCAAGCCTCTTAGATCGGTTTTTGCAATTTTCCGACGTGTGTGTGCTACACAGACACATGAAGGCTCATTTAGTGGACGCTGTCTATCCACTCGAATGTCCTCATACTTCGTGTTCAACCAGCCTACACACCGAAAACCTTTTCTGGGAACACGCAGTGTCTGTTCATGGGATACCGCCTTTGCACGCAGCCCAAATAACCGGTAAGCGCAAATCGCCATGCGAAGACGACCCACAGCCAGGGTAGCGCGCGGCTATGGATCCAATTTGGTCACATGCCTGTATCCGGTAAGGCAAACGTAAGACGCAAATCGGGATTCGGGATTTGGAGACGCAAACCAGATATCGGTTTTAGGGAACGAGTTCCTGTTTTAAGGAAAGCAGCCAGTGCATGTCGCAGTATTATATCAAGAGTTCACGCTACGCATTTTCCATTATGAATTCTGCTCATATCGCGTTACGCTGTGCACAATGATGCCACCACCTCGTCGTTTGGACCGTCGACAGACTAAGCTCGCTAGAAGGCGGAGTGAGAGCATGCTTGATTCCCCACTACAGCTGAGCATCCCCGCTACTGCGTCCCGCCAGCATCACCCTCTCACTCCATTCCCATTCGAACCAAAGCCTTTTGTACGTCAAGGGAAACAAGCCGTTAGGGAGTGCCATCATTCCCTCGTCAGTATCATCGATGAAGAACCCTCTGAAACTCATTCGCAACCCGCGTTGGAATCTAGCCTCGCGGAGCTCCCCACGGAACACGCATATGATGAGTCCAGCTCAAATTCAGAAATGGCGGTATCCCCACCTACCACGAAGCAGGATTCTGTAAGCATATTCATCATGAATCAGGCTCTTTTAAAAGTTCTAGCTCAACAACGCGACGATGCATTACATTGGAATAGCGCCTTCCGTCCAGTCACGGGCCTATGCAGGATCACCAATCCTTCAAGCCCGGTTTAATACACTAGTCAGAAAAGCAAGCCAGCTTTGCGCGATGTCAAATTCTGAAGTTTACTTGGCTGTGCGGCATAATGGTAGCTTCTACATATACAACTCTGTCAATACAGCTTCGCATCAAGCCCCAGAACCCGAGGTACGTAGAACGAACATAACATGAGCAAAGCTCACACATCGCAGGCACACGAACAGATCGTTACCGTGGCAGTCGCGAGCAGCAGCGGTGGTGTGACTGTCTAATTAGGACATAGTCTGATGTGGCGCGATTGTAGTTTTCCTGTACTTAGCCTCCAATTAAATACTTGTGTTTTACTATCTTTACATCATTAACGAAAATCTCTGTCAGCTAAAGTCAAAAAGAACCCTCATAAATTTGGTGCAAGTTATGCTTAAAGCTAGCGCTGGTTGCCATTGTGGCGTGTTTGAATTAGGCCGTTGTCGATGCAATTATCCCATTTACGGTCAGCAGCAGCCGATTCGCTATCTATTTTCACTAATGTCCATCCCTGTGGGTCGAATATCCCTCCGCAACGAACCACCATAACTGTTCAAGCACCTTACGCCTGAGCTGCAGAGGCTCTTATATTTAAGTATGCATTTACATAATCTTGAGATCTGCCTGTATCTATTGCAGGCCTTAAACAGCAAAATTATAGCAATCTAAGGGGCGTGCATGAATCTTTCGTGTTGAGCGTTGAAGCTGCAACAATAGCACGCCCCTGTTCTGTTATTCATAGAAGCGCTGCTCGCTTATTCGGATGCTCTATACAGTTTTTTATAAGATAAAGAACTAATAGCTATTTAATAAAGATGTGCAGCCTCTAATTAGGTGCGCTCCGAGTTTTTCTGGCTCGGTGTGCTAGTTCTTCGCGTTTAGCGAGATAACTTCACGTGCTGACATAGCAGGTTTCGAACAATTAGCGTCCTGTAATATACACCTGCTCAAGCTGTGGCGCAAGGCTTAAGAGGCATTGTCTAGCCACCGCTTAAGCGCGTAGTGGCTATACTCGGAAGTTAATTAAGCATAGACTTCTTAAGGTCTCTATTATATATACAACAAGGATTGGATAGCCGTAACAGTTTTGACAAATATAGAGATATATAGGTTAAGAGAGGCCCTCTATTATTATTATTAATATTATTCTAGTTTAACGTCCTTTTTTAGCCCAAAGGGCTATATAAGACGTGTAGGGTTTTTAGGCCTACAAGTATCTAAGTAGGTTGTTTCTGTAACGGGCTAAACGCCCTTCGCCTCCCATACTCGTCTACTGTAACGGCGCAGGTAAGGCAGGTCGGATCTGTTTCGGTCGTAGGATCACTCAGAGGCATATGGGAGTGCGTGGGATCACAAAGAGCCTAGATTCAACAAGCCACCTATAGGCCTTGTACGAAAGGATATCAAAAGTCTACAGAGCTAGCTACAGGGAGTGTCTCAATATATACCTATCCTAGTC